TATTGCTTTAGTATTTGCAGTTGCATTATCTAATGTTATGGCCATTATTCTATCTCTTAAACTATATTCATCAATGACAGATAAAATTGTGTTATATATTAAATTGGCAGTATGTCATCCTATAACACATTTAAAACCTAAGATTCTCTTATCCAAATCAAAACCTTTATAATAATGTCTGGTTATAGCTAAATAATCTTTGTTGGCAACGGCGGACCAAATATCCACTGTTAACGCAACGCAACCACTAGTAGAGTGTAAAAGGTTGATTAATGCTTCATTTTCTTGTTTATATAATTTTAATGCATCTTTCCTAAGAGTAGTTCTAGAAAAAAATTTGTGCATTAGGATTATGTACAATTTTAATATAACACTATCAATTTCTTTGTTCAGTAAAACTAAATGGTTAATCTAATGTGGCTACTAATCGTGCCATTTCCATACGATCAACTTGCGGATCGTATTTCCACGTGCTTAGACCGCCGGTTTGGCAGTCAAACGATAATTGTGTTTGGCGGAGATCGGCTCCGCCTCCTTGCTTTTGAAGACACTTTTCAGAGTGTCTTCTAAAGTGTGTAGTGCTGTGAATAGTGTTACATTGTAATTTATCACCACAATATTTACATTGAGCTATGTATTTAATGTTACCGTTATTGTCGACCTCCTCGAATGTGTTGAACTGCTCTCAAACTGTTGAGGTACGCTTGAATTTCTTCTTAGAACTTGCAACACTTGCACTAGCACTACCGCTTGCCTCTCCTCCACGCCCACCAGTGCCACCACCATTACGTCCACGACCTCTAGTACGTCCACCAGAGCTCGGATTTGCAGTTTCCTCAGCAACTCTTTCCGTAGTTTGCGATTCATGCGTTTGAAAAACATTAGGAAATTGCCCTTCTTCGATGTTGAATTGGGCATCAATGGGAATATCACCACCATAACCAGAAGTAGCCATTATAAAAAATAAGAGAGATTGTGAGCACTTTGAGAGAGATTAAGAGAGATCGAGAGAGATTTAAGCGAGATTATGAGAGATTATGAGAGATTAAGAGAGATTTGAGAGAGATTGAGAGAAATTGAGAGAGAATGATAGTTTTTGGGTGAGAAAAATGGTTGGGGGAGGGAGGGTATTTATAGGAAAATTTTTAGCTTGAAACAAAAAAATTTTCCCCCAAATTTTCAGTTCCAACGGCTAGTAGAATTCGTGCACTCAGGTCGGGTCGGGTGAAACTCAGACAATTCGGGCAATGGTTAAAAAAATAGCCGTTGGGGTTTGTATTTTCGAGCAAAAATCGGGCGGCGGTCAGGTCGGGCAAAAAAAATCTGTTGGGTTCAACATTCGGGCTAACGGTAAAAAAAATTATGGCAGATCTGGGCAACGGGCAAAATTCGGGCTAACGGTCAAAAAATTCGGGCAAAATTCAGGCAAAATTCGGGCAAATTCGAGTTACGCCAGAAAATTCAAAAAAAATCCGGTGGGCGGCGAGGTCGACTTCTCCACCGGCGGCGGGCTGCCGGAATTGATTTTTTTTTAGCTGCCCGAGCCCATGCTTGACCAAATAACTCGGACGGGCGGTGAATGGCACTTGCCCACCGTGCCCGAAAATTTTCAGGCACCGGGCATGCCCGCCGCCCGAAGTTGCACCACTAACTCACAGCATAGTGTGACTCCCTTTGGGATTCTAATTGCTTGCTCCTCATAGTTATCCAATTAACTTCTTTGATAAGTTGTTCAATTTGAAATTCAAATTGATTTAAGTTTGACTTAAATTAAAATTAGAATTTGAGTCAAAATTGGACTGTTAGATAAATACAGAATCTTGCCCTAATTCCCTGCAAATATGCGCCTACCATAGGGAGGGGATATCCCTGTGGTGGCTGGCTCTATTGGATAAGGGAGAGTTGATTTTGTTTCAAAATCAAATTTAAAGTGGGAGATAATTAACAAGCTTTATCTTAGAGATAAAGATAAGACTCATTTTGAGAGTCTGATTGTTACTCTATAAAATAAGAGATTGTAGAAAATTATGACATATAATTTTTGCTCTCAAAAAGCTAAAGTAGCCGAATTTTATAGAGTGAGGAAGAGAGAAATTTTCTCTAAAAATTCCATGTCGTGCATATCTTGGTGTTCGTAGAAATCTTGAGTGTTCTTGCTAATCTCGTTTTGTTTTAGGTATGTCCACACACACGTCTTTATAGATTCAAGGAATTGACGAGGAAGATTCAGGTTTTCAAACTAGCATTGGAGCAAAGAACGTTCGAGGTCAAAGAACACAAGTTATCTTCCTGATCGGTTGCTAGGTATAATTCCTAATCCGATTCTTGGTAAATAAATTAATGTGATTAATTTATTTGTGCATAAATTAATATAATATATAGAGTATCACAAAATTTTTATGAACATTTTTATTATACACGATCCGCTACTTACACGCTTCCGCATCTGAAATCGTTTCGAAAACTAACAATACACTCATTCAATATTTCTCTATATTAATGATGCGTACCATTCCATTCTTAATAGAAATGATGTGTATTAGTAATATTTTAATTAAAGATTTTATAACTTTAATTAAGTTCCTTACGAACATATTTCGATTATTATCCTTAAATATTATACTTTCATATATAACACTTATATTCAATATTTAAAGTTATATTAATAATCGCAAAATTTTCAATGATATTTATAAGTATTTAATAATACATGTAAATAAATAATGAAAAACTTAGGCCTCGTTCGCTTCGCGGATTCGAATTTTCAATTCGAGCTTAAAGAATTTCACATGACATCCAAGATATAGAGTGAATCCCAAAACCTTAACCCACTGTTAAGGGGCATCAGCACAAAACTCTCCAACACAAATCGATTGAGCTCTTTAGAAATAGATTCCAATGTTGGGAACTACTACCATTGACATTTTTTCCCATTTATATCTCCTTATTTTTGGTGTTTACTTGATCATATATATATATATATATACATATATATATATTGCTTTTTTCTTCTTAAAATTTTTCACTTTGGAAGCACTTAATTCAATACTTTATTCTCTTTTAATGTGCCCCTATTAAAATAATCTATAATATACCTAATTTAATATTTCTCTAACAATTCTTCAAAATATTGTTTTAGTAAGCATAACCTTTCTAGATATATATTTTTAATTTTTCACACTTAAACTATAACTTTTTCCTAATTATCCAAGCTAAACAATTGTTTTCAAATATGATTTTGAAAGGTTTCTTTTTTATATATATAATTTAATTATTTTTAAATAGCTTGACTCAAGTTTTTCTTAAATTTTCACAATCATATTTATTTGATCATTCAAAGTATCAAAGCTAGCACGTGCTTGATCATACTAGTAAAATGCTGCAAAGGTAAATACATTTGTGCTTTTGCAACATAAATAAACTTTTTTAGCAATACATTTATGGTATCTAATGGAAGATTGGCAAAATAAATAAACTTTTTTTTTTTTCTTTTCGGAAATCAAATTACAGTTGTTGGGTTTCGAATTTCTCTTTAGTTTTGAGACACCAAGATGTAGTTCCTGCAGCTTCAAGGCTGCACAGCCTCCAGAAGTTTCTCATAAACTTGTCTGGCAGACATATCCTCCACCTGAAGTAGTAGATATTCACATATTAGTTTGCAGCACACAAAAGGAAAAGAGCAGGAAATATGAGCCAAACTAAAAGAGAATAGAGTTTTGTGTTTAACTGACCACAAGGAGTTTTGATTTGTTATTCCATCCCCTTTGAAGAGTCATCTGGCTCAACCTCAAACCCAACACCTACGTAAAAAGCAGGAATCGACAAACAATTTCGCGAGTCACATATGGTTCCAAATTTGAAAAAAAAAAACAATGCGCGCACACACATTATTGGCATGGCACACAGATGAAATGAAACAGAATCCGAAGAATACTTTGCCCATGAATTCCAAAAGTTCGTTGTTCGCTTCTCCACGGGCAGCAGGTGCAGCTACAGTCACTCGAACATCATCAGCATTCACTCCTTGCATCCAGAACGAAAATACAAGGCAAAGAAAAATTCAATAAATTAAAGAAAGTTTTATATCAGGTTAGCAAAAATTCAATTCTGAAAGGAGTAGTGTACAAAGAAACTAGCAGTCAACCTGTCAAGAAAACAACTTTGACTCTCACAAAACTCTTTCACGTGATTTCAGTGTAGAAAAATCCATGAAACTAAACTTAGAATCAAACTAGATGCAGGATTATGTCTGTTATTGTCGGAACTACTAAATTCATGACGCAGTGTATGTGCGACTGTATTTCGGTCAAGTAACACGTATTTTTGTTTTCCACCGTCTATTTTGAACGAACAAAGAAAACAAGAGATAAAGTAAGCTCATTTGAGGAAGCTTTTACATCCGAAAGAAACATAGTTTCCAAGCAAAATAGGTTCTGCTCTTCTCGTTATAAGTGTATGCGTATAACAACAAAATGACAAATTCAGAGAAAAGGAAAACACAAGATCAGGGAACGGTGGCTCTATTACCACACCCTCAACCTACTCTCATACCTCATTTTAACACATTGTAATATAGAGAAAAACCTTGATAAAAATACATTAAAGTACGCAAGTTAAAAAAAAAAAAAAATCCTCCTCACCCACCTCTCACGCAAAACACATTACTCTTCACACAACTCTCTTAAACGCAATTACTATTACAATAATATTTATACAAGTATTAAACTCGTCAAGATTATGGTATATACGTTCAAATTTCAACTTTTAAATTCTTAAAAAACCAAATGAAGGAGCATAGTCTTAAGTCACCAGTCATGAACTTTAGACCCTGACTAAAACTCAAATATATTACCTTTCAAAGATCGCCAATATCCCTAATAAATTTAATATATTAAAGAAGAAAGTGAAACCAAGGAAGAAAATAAAAAAACAAAAAAAGTAAACCCATCTCATAGTATAAATGAAAAAATTCCAATGAAGCTGAGGGAGAAAAAAAACAAACAAACAAATAAGTGTGGTGAAGGAAAAGGGGAGAAGGATGCTGCTTGAATAACAATTTCCTGCTTGAAATTTTCAAAAAGTCAACTATAATAGAGGAAGCATGTAGAGTGGTATTTAAACCTGGTCTGCTCCTTTTTTTCAAAGAAGTTCCTAAGTCGGGTAATTGTGGTGCAAGTACTCTATGTACATATCCTTTTAGGAGGAATATCTCCGCCAATTTCTCTTTGGGGGAGGACCCTCTATGGTGGCTGTGAAGGCCCAAAGTCTATGCTTTTTTTTTTTTCCTTTCTTTTTTGAAAAGAAACAGAAACCTTTATTGATAAAGATAGGTGAAAACAAAACAAGAGAGGACAAGATGTCCTCAAATCAGGAAAAAAAAGAAAAAAGAAATCATACTGAACTAAGGAGATTAGCAAATTGCTGACATTAGCAAATTTTGATTTGCAAAATAGAACAAAAAAAGTTGCAAAATTTTGAGGTAATAATTGAAATTTAGATTTCAAATGGATGGTCGTTTTAGAAAATGTATGGCAAGAGTACACTAAGGTGTGGCAATAGAGCCACCAAGGCATGAAACATTGATGGCATCAGCATGTCCATGGACCTAACAGTACGCGATTTTAAGATACAATCAATAGAAGGGATTGATCCAATCCAAACAAAAAAGGAAGGGTTTCTTTTAGGAAAGGGATTAAAGAAAACGAGATTCAAAATAAAGTACAATAAAAAAAGAAGCAGAAGGGGAAATTTTGTCATATATTTTATTTTATATCGTTTTGGCAGCATGGCCGAGCAGGCCAAGGGGTCATAATCGTGTGATTGTCAGGCCATGAAATCAGCCTTCTATGAATTATGAGGTGGTCAAAGGTTAGTAAGTGATTCCATTTCCAACTTAGACTCCTCTGTTAGCTAATTTAATTTATAAGAAACTAAATCAAGCACAAAAGAAACAACATAGGGAAATTTCCTATAACCCCGTCAAAGTTTTTGTCAACTAGATTTCTTAATCTTATCTTGCTAATTCGTAAATATACAAAACAATAATTCCAATATGGTATGTGTTTCAGCCTTACAAGGATCAAAAAGTGTGGAAGTTTCAAAATTACTCATAGTGAGGGTAAGTCAAATACTTAAAAACTAGGAAGCATGAGCACTGAAATAACAGAAGTAATGAAAAATCAGGAGGGAGATAAATCAAGGAGTTTATAAGAAGTAAGGAGAAGGGCGGTTTGGGGATTGGGAACTTAAAGAGAAAGAATTTGTCTTTGTTAGGTAAATGGCTTTGGAGGTTTCCTTTGGAACTCAACTCTGTGGCTAAAGTCATTCGAAGTAAATATGGATTGAAACCAAGTGGATGGGACTCGAACCTAGTAACTTGGGGATCTTTTAGGAATCCATGGAAATTTGTCTCCCAGGTGTTGGATGTTTTCCTTCAAAACACAAAATTGAGAGTTGGGGATGGGACTAAAATTTTGTTTTGGAGAGACAAATGGTGTGAAATGAATCTTTGGAAGTCTTGTTCCCTCATTTATTTACAATCTCAAACCTTCCTAATGCTTCTATTGCACAAATCCGTTCACAATCCGATAATGGTGACCCAAATTGGGACCTTGGTTTTAGAAGAGGACTCAATGATAGGGAAGAAGAGGATTTGTATTCTCTACTTCAATTACTCAATTCTTCCCCTTTTCAGCCTTCCAACCCCGATCAAAGAGTATGGTTGTGTGATTCTAAGGGTTTTTTCTCTTCTTTAGTGGATAATCCTGGAAACTTGAATTTTGATTCTTTTCAATTCATCTGGAAACCTAGTGTCCCCCATAGAATTAAAGTCTTCGCTTGGTTAGTTGCGCTTGGGAAATTAAATTCTTGTGATTTGGTGCAGAAGAGAAACCCTCATAGGGTTCTATCTCCTTCTTGGTGTGTTCTTTGTAGAGGTAGTGAAGAATCCATAGACCACCTACTGTTACACTGTCCGGTGGCAAGTTCGGTTTGGCAGAAATTAGTATTAGAAGTCGGTTTCTCTTGGGTTTTTCCAGCTCAATGCAGTTCGGTTTTGAAGGAAGATTTGGCAGGATTGGAACTGAATAAGATGGCTAAAGTGCTGTCAGTTTTTTGGACTCTGTGGTTGGAAAGTAATGCTAGGATCTTTCAGGAAAAGGAGATGGATATCATTGACCTTTATGAGAAAGCAAAGTTTACAGCTTCCTTATGGGCATCATCTAACAAAACCTTTAAGGGCTTTCCTTTTTCTTTGGCTGTTTTGAATTGGAAAGATGTGATAGGTTTCTGATTTTCTGGTTTGTTTTGCTTTGTTTTCGTTTTATGTGAGTATACCTTATCCTCCCCCTCTTTTTGTGATTGATTGATTATGATCAATAAAAGTTGTTTTCTTATAAAAAAAAAAAATGGGGGTAACTGAAAATAAAATAGATTTTATTTTACTTGTGATTGCTGAGCGTTGCGCACGATCTTCCACTTCTATAGCCACTTGAACTAGTCCGCCTTCTAACTGCGATATGCAGGGTGGAACAGGAGCATCCTACAGCACATAAATAAAAATCAGATTGGGATATTAAACAATCTCACACCACATGAATGTTAGTAACTTCAAAATGGAAACAAATAGAAGTCATTGTGAACGAATTTGCTCTTTCACAAATAAACCGCCTAGAAATTGAGAACACCATCATCTACAACCCATATGGGAAATGGCTAGGAGGAACACAGAGACAGAGAATGAACCACGAAGAAATTTTGATTCTAAAAGCATGGAATTTATATACTTCCAAAAGAAGGGGTTTAGTTTATACTAATTGCTGATCAAGTTAACAGATGATAACATTAAAGCATACCCAAAAAAATTTATCTTACCTGCGGGTTGGTCTCCGCGGCAACCGTACTTAACGCACCATCAACAACATAAATAAAAGAAGCAAATTCCAAATCTTCCTCAGCACGATAGCAGACAAAAAGTCCGCATCCAAGACAGTTCAATCGGAACTGCTTCTCCAATTTCCCTTCACCCCTAGACAATGAACAACATAACATAAGTGATCATCATATAAGCTACTCGTATGATAATTCTGTTAAGAATCTATTTTCTTTTCCTGAACTTTTTTATCCCAGTATTTTATCACAATATCTAACAAACATAATCAAACACACTGAATATGAACAGATGAGTGATATTACCGCTTCAGAAGAACCTTTCCAGCCTCAGCAATGTTCAATCGTGCAAGATGTTTATTCTTGTCCAAAACATATGCTTTGTCAGTCTTCCTTTTTGGCATTTTCTGCAACTGGGTATCTTATAACAACAACATTTCAGTCTCGGAAATGGAAATTATTGCAGAAGAACGAAATGAGACAAAAGTATAGGAAACGACCTTTACCAATTAGATTCTGTGTTTTCAGGAAAATTTCAATTTTCAATATAAAAAGCGAAAAACAAAATTCCTGGGTTTCTTCTGAATAAGTTATTGCATCAATTTCAGCTACTGTAGCAGCTAAAAAAGCGAAATTGCTTATTGAAACAAAGAAAGGGGCAATTCGGAGGGATTTTAGAGAGAGAGAGAGAGAGAGGGAGAACCAGTAATGAGGACGTGAGATCCACAGTGCTTGCAGTAATAAACGAAGAGGTCAGAATCGGGACCGTCGGGAGCTGCATCTTCGCTAGAGTACGTGTGTGTTGTTCTCTTCGGCATTATTCTTATTCTTTCCTTTCCTTCCTCCTCCTCCTTCTTCTTCTTCGTCTGCTACTGAAGCTCGGGAATGGAAGTTTAGCTCTTCTGTTCGAACGGAAAGTCAGAAAGAAATGCCGTCTTCAAATTGAGAATTTGAAGATTGTTTTCTCTAACCATACTATTTATACTATTTTAAATAATTAAATATTAGTATGATATTTTATTTTATTATTATAAATAATTAAATGTTATTGTGATATTTTATTTTATTATTATTAATTGAATGACACTTGTTTATTTTTTTAATTGAGTGATATAAATAATATTTTGTATTATTTTTAATAGTATTTTTAGTTTTTCTAAACTTCAACTTTAAATTGGGTCCCGGCTAGACGTATTCAGGAGAAATGCCAAGGAAAATTAGGGTTGGCAATTCGTGTTTGCGTATCATATTCGGGCCGACACGATTACGGTACGACACAATTATAGTAAACACGAACACGATACGATTAATAAATGTGTCAAAAACCCAAACACAAATACGAAACGCTAATAACGGTTAACACGACACAACACGCGAACACGATTATTAAACGGGCCGGGACGGGCCGACACGAAAAAAAACACATTTATAACCTGTTTATAACCCAACTAGCAAAAATAGTAGAATTTTATGTTGTATTCAAAACTATATTATTTGACTACTTAATATCACTTATAGTTAAAATCATGCATAATACTTAACACACATTAAAATATTCAAATATCAAACACACACACATATATATATGTATGATACTACTAAATTATCATATATATATATATATATATATATGTTTCAAAACATACCAATTGCCAAACATCCAAAGAAGTTTGAAAACATAACCAAACATTTGAATGTTTAAGTGCATAAAACATAAAATAAATGTAAGAAAATGTTTTCTTTGAGGTTGAATATCCAACTACGCTCTAAAAATCAAAATTAGTTTCTAGTTGCTTTAACCTATTCATGGAAAAAGAAAACATTTTATTAATGAAAGGGAATTTATAGCATGGGCATGCCACAAGGAAATTTATGTTACCTTCGTGTTGAGGTTGTGAGAATTTTGAGATGAACCAGAAGTGGGCTCATTGATATCTAAAGTAAAAACATCTTCAGTAATTTCATCCACAGCTTCACGAATCGATTTGTTGTTTTCTACACATATTAGATAACTTATATGGTTAAGACTTAAAATAACATAAGCTAAGACAGTAAATAAACAAAATAATAATAATAAATATACCTTTACCTCCAAATAGCTAATCCCTAGTACAAACCAATGCCTCAACTACAACAAGTTTAAGTGAACTCCTATATTGATCCAATACTCATCTTCCAACACTAAAGGTAGATTCAGATGCTACAGTATTATTATACTTAGGATATCACGAGCCAAGCAAGAAAGCTCCGAATAGCGAAAGTGGTTTTCTTTCTAAAATTCAAGAACATCCAACTCAAAACTCCCTTTGTACTCTTGGCTCATCAAAATAAACATCTAATTCTGATTTCTGCATAACAGTTTGCTCTTGGCTTTCAAAGTTGTTGAACTCCTACAACCACAAAGATATAAAACAAGATGAAAAAGACAAATAAAGAACAATTAGTATTAAGCAATGAATGTTAAATTAACAAAATCAACATATAAATATTTACCATGAATGCTAACTACATTCATAAACTAATTGTTACCGTCAATACTTTGGTTTGCCTCTGTAAAAGCTTTTGTGCCGGGTTCTTAGCAATAGGGCGGAGATGAAAGAAGAAGAAGCAGAAGAAGAGGAAGAAGAAGAAGAAGCAACGGTGGAGCTATCTGGAGACCTAGCGGGCTAGTGACGGTGGAGCACTCTGGAGAAGAGATAGCGGCGGGTGAGAGAATGAGAGAAAGAGAAGCCTCAGAGACTCAGAGTCAGAAGTAGGGTTTTGTCTAAAAAACATATAAACGGGCTTAATAAATGGGCCGGGCCGGGTTGGGCCATGTCGGCCCGATAACGGCCCATATAACTAAACGAGTTATTATTCCACCAAAGCTTTATGTTGCCAATCCCTTTTGTAAATTTGGTAAGATAGGATAGGCCAACATCCTTTCCTAAAGCTTGGCGATTGTAATAGGTATGGCTAGCCTTGAGAAACAAATTCATCGGTTTGTACTTAATGTGATCGGGTTGAAAGTCGATCAACATAGTGGAAAAGACTGAGTCATGATTTGCTCGGTAACAGTGGACGTAGGCTCATACCCGAACTACTATAAAATAGTGTTCGCATTCTCTCCATCTTTATCTCACTTATTTACTTTTGTATGGTATATTGTGTAGCTTGTGATTTTGTTTTGTAGATGCTTTCATATATTGTCATTGTTCTTGATTTTGCTAATATCATATTCTTGCTTAATCTATTATCCATTTGTGCTTTGTTCATCTAGTTTTATTTGAACTCAATTACAAAATTTTATTATATCCTTTCTACAATTGTTCTATCTCGTCTAGTATTTTGTATGGATAGATAATATACAAATAAAATAAAAAAAATATATTTCTTTTTGGCTATTAAAACTAATAAAAGAGAACTTTAAACGACTAAATACAAATATTGGGATGTCTAATGACTAATGACTGTTCACACAATTTGGAATAGAGTATATAGTAATATGTTCTTCTTATTCGAAACGCCATGTGATCTTCAAGCAATTATGTGCTCCAATATAATAACCAGGAGTAAGCGTTAGAGCTTATTTCTAATATTCGGCACCCTAGCACTAACTCTTTAATATATTTCTTATTAGAAGTATCCTTGATCCCATTGATAACGAGTGTGACCAAATAATTTAATGGGGGTAGTTGTTGAGTCATACAACATAGTTCTAGACTCGAGGAAGAAGCCCCGGCTAACTCCGTGCTAGCAGCCGCCGCAGCAAGACATGGATTTAAGTCAACATTCGAATAATGATTGATTGATTTTTGAAAAAGTTTTAAAAACCTAATTCACCCCATCTTGAGTAGCTATTTTTGGAATAAGTCGATGCCAAGTTTGATGCATTATCAAAAGGACAAGCTACTTGGAGATCTTCCAAGCCGATGCCATGAGAAAGGTCATGACCTACTTTGACCAGGCCGTAGCGCGACAAATCTACTGCCTCCACAGTCCACCCTAAGAACCTCTCAACAAATCACTCTAATTTTTTGACGAACTGTACATATTATGCTACAAATCATAAAATGGACGTTTGGTTCATAGATTCAGAATCATTCTTATTTTACGTGTATTTTTTGTGAGAGAAAAACACTGTAGAGAACTATGAATCATGCTTCAGAATCAGAGACGAATACAAGAAACAAACATCAAGATGGGGGCAGTTGCTAAGATTTTTTGTTCAAGTACTGAATTGCCAAATACAAAATGTTTAAGAGTTATCCATGCAAAAAGTAAAAATGAAGAAAAAATTCAAGTTAAAAAATAAAAACCGAATGAATCAAGTGAGAATGAAGTAAATAGTAAATTATAAAACTATTTAAAATAAATAACTGTAAATTAATTTACTTGAAAAAATAACATTTAAATAGAAAATTTACACGGTAATTTTTTTTTAAGAGTTGTTTAGTTAGGGGATTCATACCCCGATTTGATTCATAGTTCGTGATTCGCTACAGTATTTTTTCTCATAAAAAATACACATAAATCAAAAATAATTTTAATATCATAATTTTAATTCATGACCAAACGTGTCATTAGTTTCGTAAAACTATTTACTACGGTTTATGAAGGGAAGAATTAAAATCGCATATTGGGTCGGATATAAGATCCAAGCACACTCATAACCCGAATTGATTGTGGGAATTGGGGATGGGTTTTGGTTTTACGGGTTTGGAACCAAAAATTTGCAACAGCTATAAGAAGCAGCAGCCACCGCCACCACCTCATATGAAAGGCGAGGCCTTGTTCACGTACTAACTCACCCCACCAAGACCGAATCTTGGCATTTTTGGAGCTGTTCTTGTTCGTCGTCTTCTGGGTTTTGCTTTAAATTACTTTTCTTTTGGTGGGTTTTCGTTGTTAATTGAATATTCTACTAGCCATGGCCTCAAGGGCTTGGAGGAGATTATACAGGGACTTTTCGCAGAAAAAGCTGTTTTCCAGTCCTCTTGGAAGCTACAGGCATTGCTCTTCTTCCCCACAAACTGCTCCTAAAATCCCTCATTTTTCCAAGAAAGTATGCTCTCTCTGTCTCTCTCGTATGTGTATTTGTGTTTATGTTGCCAAATTGGAGTTTTTTGTTTTTGTTTTTTTTCCTTCTGTCTTATTGGTAAGCGAAGCTATGTATTTCTCTATTTGTTCACTAGTTGCTTATGGATTCTGTTTTTGATTACTAGTTTCTCTAACTTTTAAAATGTGAATCATTACTATCGTTATTCTGATGGAATTATCTGATCCTGCTTAATCAAATTTACATTGAAAACTTTTTTTTTTTCATTTTAATTTTCCTGTCGTCTTCTGAACTAGTTTCCGAATATTTTGAACTTGCAGGGGAGGTTACTGACGGGAGCCACAATAGGACTAGCTATAGCTGGAGGAGCTTACGTTAGTACTGTGGATGAAGCAACTTTCTGGTACCTCATTTTGATCGAAGCCTAAAATGCTTAATTCAAATTTTCGATGTGTAAATTTTTCCACATTACAGTTATCAGATTGGAAAAATGAGGAATTCTCCAACTTATTGCTTCCATGTTTTCTTTTGGTCATGATTTTATCTGTCAGTGTCAGGAAGTATGTATTGTGATTTCCTTGAGGTAGATTTGAATTTCAGCCTTACCATATTGCTAAAGGAGAAAATAAGCACGCAAAGCCCAAGTCAGACTGTAGCGTGCTGTTTCATTTTAGTTTGATCTCTTGGTTGATGGGCTAAAATAACACTTGTTGAAATTTTAAACTGTTGTTCGGCATCCGCTCTGACGGTGAACACGCATGCAAAAATATCATTGCATCTATGTTATGCTATGGTTAGTCCTTGCCATGGTAACGGGGTTTTGCAATTGTGCACTAGTATGTAGTTGTTATCGTTGATTAGCATCTGAAGGTTGATATTTTGTTTTGAATTCGACTTCTCTTCCCTTGAAAGCATATTCCCGATATCAGTTTGTGGATTGGTCTGTGTTGTTATGGACCTTAAAAGCAAGGTCAATTTGTGACTAACTTTTCATTATAAAACTTATCCAGTGGCTGGCTATTTTCTGGTACAAAACTGGTGAATCCTTTCTTTGCCCTGTTGGATCCAGAGTTTGCTCACACGCTAGCCGTCTCAGCCGCAGCGCGTGGTTGGGTTCCAAGGGAGAAGAGGCCCGATCCACCTATTTTAGGTTTAGAAGTTTGGGGAAGGAAGTTTTCTAACCCCATAGGTCTTGCTGCTGGGTTTGATAAAAATGCTGAGGCTGTTGATGGCTTGCTTAGTTTAGGATTTGGCTTTGTAGAGGTCGGTTCTGTAACTCCCGTTCCACAGGAGGGTAATCCCAAACCTCGTATCTTCAGATTGCGGCAGGAAGGGTAAGAGTTGAGCTTTTGTTCTATTCACATATCTGAACCTTGACTTGATTTTTTTTTTTTTTTCTAATGTGCTTAAAAATTCTTTATCTTTTCAGTGCTATCATCAATCGATGTGGCTTCAATAGTGAAGGAATTGTTGTTGTTGCAAAGCGGTTAGGTGCCCAACATGGTAAGAGGAAGTTGGACGAATCTTCAAGTGCTTCGCCTTCCCCTAACGATGAAGTCAAACATGGAGGCAAGGCTGGACCTGGAATTTTGGGGGTGAATCTTGGAAAAAATAAGACAAGTGAAGATGCTGCCGCAGATTATGTTCAAGGAGTACATACGTTATCCCAGTATGCTGATTACTTGGTAGATATTCTTTATCGAATTCATAGTAGTTTTTTATGTTCTCTTTTAGGAAAAAAGGCCTAAGTCTTGGTTTATAGTATTCTAGCAAAGTAAAAGTATATAAATCGTCGAAGACATGCGAATCCTGATAATGCTGTGCAAAATTATTTGGCTTCCATGAGAAAGCTACAAATTTTAGGTAGTTGAAGCAAATTTATTGACAGTACAAAGCTTAGTAGTGTGTAAGTGCCATATGCTAATTTGGATTTGATTTCTAGAGAATAGTCCTTCACCGTTTCTTTATATTATTCCTTAAGCGAATATAATCGTATAATTCATGATCTGCAATCGATGCCTTCGCGGCCTGGTGTTTCGATTTTATTTTATTGCTTTGGTCTAAGTTTCTGACAATGTGCCCACTATCCTTTTTTTAGGTGATTAATGTTTCATCACCCAACACTCCAGGATTACGTATGCTCCAAGGAAGAAAGCAGCTGAAGGATCTCGTGAAGAAGGTATGAAGCTCAATGCACAACTTACTTTTAAATCTAATCACAAGTTGAAGTAAAGTAATAATAAATCTGATGTTTAAGTTTACTCTTTCAATATTTTTCTCTTTGTCAAGATCCAAGCGGCTCGTGACGAAATGCAGTGGGGTGAAGAGGGCCCACCTCCGTTGCTTGTGAAAATCGCTCCAGACTTGTCTAAAGAAGACCTTGAAGATATTGCAGCTGTATGACCCGTGCTTCTCATTTTGCTTCCCCCCCAATTGATTCTTAACTTCTGTTTTTTTTTTTTTTTTTTTTTTTTTTTAATTTTTTTTTTTTTTTTTTTTTTTTTTTTTTTCTAATGATTTTCTTCATTCTGTGTTTTTATAGGTTGCCCTAGCCCTTCGCTTGGATGGATTGGTATGTTGTTTCTACCCCAACTCCTCTACCTATTTTCTTTGTCAGTCATGCATGCATGGTCCATGTCTTTTGTAAACAGAATATTATGGATTTCTCTAAGGCTTATGTGCATACTTTCCCACAATTTGAAAATGAACCACCCTAGGAGTTTTGCTTGATTTTGACTGCCAGCACAATTGAAGCCATGCAAATCTAGAATCACTTAGTGGACGTTTGGTTCAGATTCAGAACCATTATGGGTTTACGTGTATTTTTTGTGAGAGAAAACACTGTAGTGAGCTACGAACCATGATTCTAACCATGGCACGAATCCTCGTACCAAACACCCTCTTAGTGAAAACAGTGCTTCAACAGCATCTGCTTCACATAGGTACTTGGGAAGATCTGTAATGGCTTAGCCATTATGGCATGTGCATTGGCAATTCTGCCATAGTAACATATGATGAGTGGTACATATATCATTTTTGAAACTTAATAACAAACCTAAATAATATCCTTCATATATGCATTCATATTCTTTCCATAAAAAACAAAGAGAACAGTGTGCTTTTATTTGGAGAAGTCTTTAATTTTTGAAATTCAATAACAAACATGTTCTATTGTCCTTGCCATTATTTTGGGTGGTGTGGCAAATAATTTTTGTAGATAAGGAGGTTGAGGAGTCAAAATTGTTTGATCAATCTCAGTTTCTGGCCTCCTTTTGGGTGTCTATTGATTCTGTTTTTAAACATTTTCCTGTATCTTTAATTTGCTTTACTGGAAAGACATATTGGGTTTAAGACTTTTCATTTGAACTCTTTCGGATTTTAGAATGTCCGAGTTGAACTTGTGTTCCTTTCTTCATTTTTATGTATTTTTCTTTTGTTTTTGGAGGATATCTCATTCTCCTTCAGTTGTATTGACTTTTTTTTTTCCCTCCTTTTTTTCTTCAATCAATAAAAGTTTTTTTTCTTACCAAAAATGAAAAAAAAAAAAAAAAAAATTAATTACAAACCTAAAGATTTTCACACAGTTATCCTCCCTTCTCAAGTGCCCGGATGCATGGCAGACCAAGGTATCTGCTACATATCTGTCATAGTAAAGATTGACTGTAGCTTAGTGGAATAAAGTATCTGCAGCATACGTCTCATAGTAATATTTATCTGGTTCATGAGTTTATGCTTCTAATAGCTGCAGCATTCTGTCAACTTATACAAAATACTATCCTCATGGTGCATGATAACTTCACGGCTCATTCCTCATTTATTTATTTTCTAGATTATATCCAATACGACAGTTTCAAGACCAGAACCAGTGGAAAAAAATCCAGTGGCTGCAGAATCTGGTGGGTTAAGTGGGAAGCCACTATTCAGTATGTCCACCAATCTATTGAAGGACATGTACATTTTGACAAGGGTATGTCGCCTATTTCGCCGTGATTTTGACTTGTCACTAAGCTGTAATGAGTGTAACTTGTTTTTCACTAAGCTTTCTTGATGGGAAAGGAATGTAAGAGCAAATGATGTGCAAAGTACCCGAGGGCTGAAAGCTGCCTTTTTTGCTTTTTAGCCTTTCCCTGCCCCGTTGCTAATATCTGATGACACGAACATAAAGAAAAAGTCCATGCCGGAAATGCTATCCCCTTGTCATTTCTACTCTATTTTGTGTGTGTGCGCGCGCGGGAATATTTGAGATACAGAGTCCATTTAATATAGCTTATATTAATATTGCTATAAATATCTTATACTATTTTTTTGACTAGACGAGTATGACACCTAGATTGGCTGTTACTACACTTCAATATGTCCGTACACATTCCTAAGTACACTTGATAGTTTATAATACTGCCTTGCTAAGTTGCTTCCATTAATTTGCTAGTTAATTTGGTGTTTCCCTTTTTGTTCCTTCTTTTATTGAGTGGCTGACTCCATTATTCTCACCAGGGAAAAATTCCTCTAATAGGTTGCGGGGGCGTCAGCAGGTAAAATCAGAGACCCTCACAACTAATATCACCATTTTTGTCTTTTTGTCTTGCCTAAAACCATGTACTTTTCGAAGATTTATTTACTAATATTAACTTTCTTTACTCTTCTTCTATGCCTCTTTACCAGTGGTGAGGATGCATATAAAAAAATAAGAGCTGGAGCAACTCTTGTTCAGCTATATACTGCATTTGCCTATGGGGGACCTGCTCTCATTCCCCAGATCAAGGTATTTACTAATGCGTGCTGAAAAGTCGAAAACAGTTTTTGCTTGTATTCGTAATAGGCGTTCATGTATCTCATACAAAAGTAATAGCTGTTTTTCTTATCAAAAAAAGTAATAGGTGTTCATTTATCTCATACACCTTGGTATGGGATTTTTAAATCGAACGGAGTTTGATTTGGGCGGCGCAAGGTGGGAGTTGATTGTAGGAAGGGAATTCAAGTTGATACGATGTTTACCTCGAACTTTCTCGTGAAAAACAGTTGTAAATATATGTTAAGCTATAGCTCTCTGCCTCTGCCTAAATGATACTGGAGGCAAACAACCTAGAATCTTGAATGTCCTCAGTTGAAATCTCAAGTTTTATTTGGAAACGTAGAGTACATATGCACACTTAAGAATATATATATATATATATATTTAACCGGAGAACGAGATACTTAAATATAGTCAAAGCATTGGAAATTTTTGGTATTAGAGGTACCAGTTTGAACCCCGCTGTTCCAGATACTATATTTGTGGGTAATAATGTGTAACTTATTATTTTGTGAGGTGTTTTTATTGATCTCATTCTCTCTTTCCTTTTCCATTCTTTCCTAGGCCGAATTGGCAGAATGCTTGGAAAGGGATGGCTTCAAGTCCATCGTTGAAGCAGTTGGGGCAGATTGCAGATAACCCGGGATCTCAGGGCAAAATATGATTCCTTTCAAGATACAAGAGTTTGTACTAGTGTTATATGCTGAGCAATAATCTCGAATTCCTTAATGGTGTAACTTTTGTGTTATGGGTCTTCATTTCTCATCTTTTTTCAACAATGGGTCTTCATTTTTCCTTTTTAAACTCGATTCTTTTGAGAGAATTCACCTTCAATTTTGGCGTGGATGATGTTGGTGGAGATTTTAGATGCTTTTTGACTTGTAAAATGTGTCAAATTTTGTAAGCATTTGTTCCCCAACTTTCCATGAAGTTATCACACTAGGAAATAAAATATCAGATTGGGCCATTTTATTTCTATTGTAGCCAAAAACTAATTAGGCTCTGTCCACAATCAGACTTCCTGCTGTCTGAGCTGAACTCTAATAATTTCCTTAAGCGCCAAATTTTGCACGTGTTTAACGACTTTGTTGTGATATTATGGTCGTGTTTGGAATTGATTTCGTTTTTATTTTTCATGTTTTTCGAGAAAGAAAAAATGAAAACGTTTTAAAAACGGCGTTTTGTGCAATAAAGACAAAAAATGAAAATGAAAACGATTTTTTAGTTTAGTGTAAAATGAGAGAGAAATGAAAAATGACTTTTAGTTATTTTTTATTTTTATTTTCGTTTTCTTCTCTCTCGAGCAGAGAGAGAAAGAGATACATTAATGAGTTTGTTTTACACTGAAAACAATCACTTAATAAAACTATTAAATGCATTTTTAAAAATGATTTCTGTTTGAGATTGAAAACGTTTTCATTTTCATTTTTATACAAAAAATAAAATCATTTTGGAACGAATTTCAAACGCGCCCTATGTGATTTACGTTTATACTTTTTGAAGTGAAAAAAAAAAAAGAAAAACAAAGAGACTGAATTTTTGCAAAGATTGCTAACAAAGAGACTGAGGGCTTGTTCTTTTGGAGTTTAATTTGAGTATAATTCTTGAGTTGAATTTGAGTTATAACTTGAGTTGAACTTGTAACTTGAGTTTGTGTTTGGTTGTATACATTGGAGTTATGGTTTGAGATAAGAATCTTTTTGAGTTTGTGTTTGAGTGAGTCAAAACTTGAATTTATATTTAGATAGTATTTTAATAAAAACTCAATGCTGATGAAAAATTTTAATATGGTATATGGGTCGGGTTTTATTCGTCTTTTCGTTGTCAACGCATAGAAAAAAAATCATCTCAATCAGAATTAAAACGAAAAAGTTATAGCATTTTTAAGAATAGAAAAAATACTGTTCATTCATTTGAGTTTGAGTTTCTGAACTCGAGTTGAAGGGAAAACTTGAACTCGAGTTTAAACTCGAGTTTAAACTTAAAAGAACATGAACTCAAATAAAATTGTAACTCGAGTTGCTTTTTTTTGAGTTTTCACTCAAAAGAACAAGCCCTGAATTTTTGAAAGATTGCTCGAAACTAGTGATTAATGAATAGTGAGGTATAATTCGTTGCGAAAAGGAGTGAAATAAGCTGGAAGCATGAGCTTAGATTGGTATTACAAACACATTTTTCACCGTTCAATGTGCATTAGCAGTATTGCTTCAACTTCACATCTCTGCAATACGACAATAGTTTCAAATAAAGATAGAACAATATGTGATTTCAGGGGAATGAGAACCTAATTGGTTTATTCATCTCTCTCGAGAGAACCTTATTTTATTTGTTGACTTGAAGAAGAGTACATTGTCCCGTTCATTTCACCGTTTCAAGTTTAGAATTCGAGTTTTGTTACAGTAAAAAGTTCTCAGAAACAGTCACATTTATTTTTTTCTTGCTACAGTAAAAAGCTCTCATATAAAGTCACATTTTAACTCGAATTAAAAACTGAAATCAACAAACTAAACGGGCCTATATACTCTGCAATCACCATCTGCATGGACTTCACAACTATTTTGGGGGTCGCTCAAATAGATCCATAAGGTAATTCTCCAGATCATCAGCATTGAACTTGATGTACTTGTCACTTATGCAATGATAAAATCTTCCCACAAATGTTTGTATGTCTGTATGCCTGTATTACCTTGATGGATATTGAGATTTACGAGTCTTCTTTAAACTCCTTATCTGTTACGGTCCATGCTGTTTGAGTCCTATAAATTTCCTCAAAAGCAAGGTAGAAGCTCCGGAGCCTCTGCTTAATAATGACTTTTGAGGTAGAACTCGTACCTTAACAACATTCCTCGAAAGTAAGGTAGAAGCTCTGGAGCCTTTTCTTGATAATGATTTTCGATGTAGAACTCGTACCTTAACAACAAGAGTGCTGAACCCCAACTGGCCCCTTCATAGTCCATTGCATACTTTCGCCATTTCCAGTTGTGGTCTCTAATCCATTCGTTTCCAAATATTCGCTTCAGTTCAGATCTTTTCACTTTCTGCACCATGTAATTCATGTTGTTTGTTCATCAAGAACAAGTGCTGCAAAGAAGCGTTCTTGTGTAACTTGGACATGACGTCAAGGTTGCATTCTAGAAGTGCAGCAAATGATACATTCGTTTTTGTTTTTCCTCTTACTCTTATTTAATCTTATTATTTTAGTCCCCATTTTTGTTATTTATTTGTTTCTTAATTGTTTTTCTTCCTTTTTTTTTAATCCTTCTTCCTTTTTTGTTTGCTTATGTAGTCCCTCATTCTTATTTACTTCCTTATTTCCATTTTGAATTTTAACATTTGCTAATGCCATGCCATCCTTTCATACTCGCAACAAAATCTCATTAAGATCCAAGTGAAGCGTCCACGAGTGCAAAGAACACATTTTTAACTAAGAAAATTGTGCTCTTTTTCCTTGAAAGTTTGGAGATTCTTGAACGATATATAGTGGAGGCCAATGGGTCACGTAATTGACTAACATGACACACCTGTGCTTATATAAAATATAACAGACGTCGTTTTGAGTAAATGTTAATGTTAATTTTATATTTATCATTAAAAAGTATAATATGATATATTATTTTTATTCTTATTCTAATACATAATGCTATTTGAAATGTTAAATATACTTTTCTGCATAATTATTAAGTTTAAAAAGTTGTAAAAGTAAACTTTTATGTTTAAAATAAGAGTAGTTAGATTTGCGCCCTAAAAATTCATTAATACCCCAACTAATTAATATTCCTCTAATAAAATTTTAAAAAACCTATCATTTTATAGATATTATTTTCATAATACCTAATTTAACTCTCTCATGCCCCTTCCAATTTGATTGATAAGATAATATAATCTCTTTCAACTATTAATGTTTATATTTCCTTTTTTAAAAATATTGCAATTTCATTTAATTTTATTTGTTAATTGTAATGTCCATTAAATAAGAACAAGGCGGCCATAACACAAAAACAACTAGATGCGATTGAAAAAAAGTCTGCCTCATTCATTTTACCGATTTGAGTTTTTAATTATAGGTTTCTACAGTTAAAAGCTCTCAGAAAATGTCACATTTAACTTTTTCTGTTACAGTGAAAAGCTCTCAGAATATGTCACATATCAATTCGAATTGAAAACTCGAATCTATAAAGTGAACGAGAGGAAACCAATCCTCCTAGCAAAAAAAATAAAAAGGCACAAAGCGACAAAACTATTCTTACTAAAGTCCACCCAACACATACAAGACAAATAAAAGACGTTGGAAAACAAATAAAAAAACAAGGATAACATAAAACACTCTTAACAACAAGTTTTCTAAACAAGGTAGGATAGGTTATGGAGGTGGAAAACACTCTACTCCTCAAGAGACATGTTATTTCCATTTATAACTAATTTAGAGTATATTAATGGATTTTAGTGTAGTTTTAATGTAGGAAAAATTGTAATAAGCATAAATTATAAATTAGTGGGAGTATTAATGAATTTTTAAGGTGTAAATATAATTACTCTTAAATAATTAGAAAATGTAAAAGTTGTAATAATTAATGAAAAAGTAAACATTTTAACCAATAGTAATTAAATGCTAAATTTTTGGTATGCTATATTTTGAGGGAAATTTGTCACAAAGTATAGTATTTGAAAAATTTGACACGACAAATAGTATTGCATTGAGGAGTATTTTTTGTACTCAAATATTAAATTTACAATTGGTACATCAATTATAATATTACATTGAAGATGCTCTAAATTAGTAGGGACCGAATTAGTAGAAAACAAAATATATCACCAAGAAGCATCCAATTTAGAAATCTTGAGTTTAAGTTAAAGAATTGTTATTCTAACACCGCATACACACATATGTAAGTTTCCCTAAATGCTTTAAAATGAGAGTTGAATAAAGTGAACTCATTGTTTGAGCATCCGACCGTTATAATAGGGACATCAATTCTAAATGCTTGTTTAGTTAGCTGATTTAAGTTTTTAATTTGAGTTAATATGTGACTTTATATAAGAATTTTATATTGTAACAAAAAGTTAGATGTGACTATTTTTGAGAGTTTTTTACTGTAACAAACCTTAAATTCTAAACTCGAATCGGTGAAATAAATAGAACCTAAGTGTCGTTTTATGGTGCCGGGGTGAAAAACCATGGCAGCGTGCCTAACAGAAAAGCAAGCCGTAGGATTAAAACAGTTCGTAAGATGCTGGCACGTGAAAGGTAACTTGTTATCGGACGAACCAGTTGAAAGCTCATGTAATTCTTTTTAACCGAAAAAATAAGAAAAATAACTATATTTTAACTTTTTTTATTTCGGAGTTAAATTAAAATAAAAAAAGGCCCAAAACTTTACTTTTGGTACTCGCGCACTCTTTGCCACTCAAAATTTCTTCTGTCGTTGAAAATTTTCCTTGTCTTCCAAATTTTGTCGAGTTTGTAGAAGAGGAGAACTATGGCCCCGTTTTTTTCGCTGATTCGAGTTTAGAATTCGAGTTTTGCTACAGTAAAAAGTTCTCAGAAACAGTCACATCTAACTTTTTTGCTACAGTAAAAAGCTCTCACACAACATCACATATTAACTCAAATTAAAAACTCGAATTAACGAACCGAACAGGCCGCATATGAAGATGGAAAAGCAGATAATAGTATTCTTACACCGTCGTAAAATCTCACCCTGTTTTTTGTTTTGCGCTTTTCTCAATAGAGTTTTTGAACTTTTTTTGGAGATGCGATTCGAGTGTCGGTCAATACCGAGAAATTCTATGATTAATCTTGTACCATATTGTTGTCGATTTGGTAGTACAAAGAGTGGGGTTTTGAGGTGTGAGATTCTAGGGATCTGTTGTACATGTTGGGGGGTTTTAGTGAGAAGAAAATGGTTGTATCGATTTTAATAAATTAAGTCAAATTTTTGGATATAATGCACTACGGAAGGGGGTGTTTAATTATTTAGGCCGTGTTGTGCCGACTCATGAACTGAGGTATGCTAATCTAGCTCAGCCCATTAATATTGATGGATAGGCCGTGCCTTAAACACTATCGTACCGTATCATGTTGATCCAATAGTGTATCAGCATGGGCATTAGTCGGTCCACAGGCCCTAGCCTATAGTTGCTCTCATAGTTGCATCCTTAAATTTGGGGACGTTTGGTTGGAGGATTCGTGTCATAGTTCGGATCATGGTTCGTGATTCGTTACAGTATTTTCTCTCATAAAAAACACACGTAAATAAAAAATAATTATGAATCATGATTCTAATCCATCAACTAAGGGGTTGTTTGGTTGGGGGATTCGTACCCCGATTCGAATCATGATTTATGATTCGCTACAGTATTTTCTCTCATAAAAAATATACGTAAAATAAAAATAGTTCTAATCTTATGATTCTAATCCATGAACCAAACGTCTCCTAAATGTCCTCGTGAAAGCCTACAATGAGAGACACTACTTTTTTTTCTTTTCTTTTTTTTTTTTTTGCTGCAAGTTATTTAAACCGTTCATAAAAATTCACGAGCATAAAACGTTGTACTTATAACTTGCAGCAAAAAGGAAATAATAATAATTAATTAAATAAAAAAATAATAATAATAGTAAAAAGACTTCCTCAGCGGACACGTTCCCTAAAAAAATTTGTAAGACTTAAAGCAAGACTGACCATTTTATCTTCTCCTATGTTGTAGTTGAGTTAAGCGGGAAGGAACTGGAAAGCTCTCACTTTCTCCACCGCCACAATAACAAGCCGTTAGAATCTTGACTTTGGAAAGGCTCACTGGTTCGGTTTAGTAAAGGCATTTCTCTTTTCTTTCTTTGTTTAATAAAATTTTCCTTTTATGTTTTCTGATTTTCTCCTGTGGATGGGAGTGTTAAAACAAACTGGGAATCACATGGATATAGGTTTTGAATACCACCTATTTTGGAATAAGAAAAGGGAAAAAAAGAAAAATGAGAAATGAACATAGGATGAACAAAAGATGACATGTTTGGCTCTGTTTGGTAGCCGAGAAAAGTACAGAAGTGATTGGATAATAGAGTAAAAAAATAATGCTTAAACGCTCGTTTACTGTTCTTTTATTTTTTGTTTTTTTTTGTTTTTTTCCAAAGAACGAATACTAATTTAAGATGTTCGTAATTTATATCTTCTTTCCTTTTTAAAGCTCACAATGTGTATGAGACAATGCCTCATAGAGATTAGAAATGTGTAGTCAAACACAACATAATGGTTTTTTCCCCCTTTGAGGAGGGTATTATTATTATTCTTATTATATATATATATATATATAACAAGCCTTAATGCCCACTTAATTGGAGTCGGCTATATAGATTTCATTTTTTCACACAGCTCTGTTCGAAATTAAACTTTCCTAAAAGTCTAGATCTAGAATGTCTTTCCTAACGATTTCGGTCCACGTAATTCTTGGTCTACCCCTCCCTCTCCTAGTATTAGGTATAAGAATGTCCTCCTAAGCACGAACTGGTGCTTCTAGCAGTCTACGTTGGACATGCCTGTACCATCTCAAGCGGCCTTCGCGCACCTTATATATATATATATATATATATATATATATTCCAAGTTCATATGAAAGGAAATTTATTTTTATGTGTTATTCTTGCCTATTATGTAGATTCATATTTCTTCTTAATTTAATGGGATTTGGACTATGGCTCTACAGATATGCTGAATTAGGTGCAAGAAGGATAGAGTAGAAATGGGCTATTGTTGTTATAATCCATCTTCTGCAAGTTCCCATCTTTTAGTCACCAACTTTTCTCAGCAACTCAAGAGTCTAAATTTTCCTCATCAGGTAAATTCTGTTGTTCCTACAGCTTTTATTTCGTTATTTTTCGTAAAATTTATTTCAAATGATTTTTCTCCATGTTATCCTTTTCTAACTAGCAAGAAATCTTTGCTCATGCCGTACTTATGTTGAATGTAAATCCAGAATCTTAGTTTTCAGAGTGCAAAACACATCCATTCTTTGTGGATATGTTATATATTAAGAGGGCATGCGGCTACTGAGATTGTCATATTTGAGTAGTATATTAGTACCTAATTGTTGTGTTGATAATGAATGAAAATGTCAACATATATTAAGTGCAACTGATTGCTGGACTAGTTTTATTTAGGTGCAGTGAAATTCTATATTGCTTTTATGAGGTACTAATGGAGTCATAGCAACTTTTAGAATCCCAAAATATTGAATAAAATATAGCTAATCATCAAATACTGCGCCTTTTGGTCCTGTAAAGTTGCAACGGTGATACGTTCATTTTCCCTTTTCTTGTTTTTCACATAGGAGATTGACCGAAAAGCAAAGGCTTTATGCATTTGGTTTAGAATAGTTATCTGTCATTGCTGTTTAATTTTGATTATTCTTGGTAGTGAGTCTAACATCTAATTTAGTATATAGTGATTACTTGATGATATCATTGACCTGACAACATGTTTATGAATTCAGCAATTAATTTATGTGTGCTGAATGTGTGCAGAAAAGATGGCCCGATGGGTTCCATAGAGCATCCAAAATTTTTGCGTACCATGGTCTGAAGACACCGCCTTATAAACTCGTGAGTATCAAGTTGTATGTATTACATTAAGGAAAAAAGCTTAGTTGTCTCTACCTTCTAGTGTTACAACCCGTCCTAAGACTGTTAGTCAAGTAAAAAGCTTGAAACTTGCCATTAATCAAGGACAAATGCTATTATAATATGCTTATAGAGACATTATGCCGTGCTACTATAATCAGCTTCTAGTATCTACTGTGGAAGAAGGTGCTTCAAGAATGAGCCATCTGTAGTGAAGAGCTTCACTGATGTTTTAATTTGCCTTTTCTTTATATAAGAAATGTAAAGTGAAGCTGAAAGAGGAATTCTATATTGATTGAGTAAAACATTACATGTTAGGGTATATTTATCGCTGTACACAAAATCAGAGAAATTAAAAAACAAATATCCCTAGAATCTGCCTAGTCAAACCCCTACAAAGCAGGCATTCCTATATCAATCAGGTATCTACCCATAATCTCCCAAATCTACAATGTACAGCTGTACACGTTTCCAAAATCAGTAAATCTTCCAACACTCCCCCTCAAGCTGGGGTATAGATGTTCTCCATTCCCAGCTTGCTCACAATTCTTTGAAACACTGGACTAGCCAATCCCATAGTAAGGATATCAACCCATTGTCCATTAGTAGATACGTAGGGAGTACAAATCAAGCTGCTTTTGAGTTTCTCCTCTATGAAATGCCTATCAACCTCCACGTTTTTTGTTCGATCATTTTTCATTGGGTTATGTGCAATATTGATAGCAGATTTGTTGTCACAATAAAGTTTCATAGGCATTTCCCATTTGATTCTCAAGTGCAATATTGATAGCAGATTTGTTGTCACAATAAAGTTTCATAGGCATTTCCCATTTGATTCTCAAGTCTTCCAAGATTATCTTGAGCCATAGTAACTCACAAATGCCTTGTGCCATTGATTGAAACTCTGCCTTTGCACGGGATCTAGCCACAACCGGTTGCTTCTTGCTCCTCTAAGTCACTAAGTTCCCGCCAAAGAAGGTGCAATATCCAGAAGTTGATCTCCTGTCAGTGACTGAGCCAACATAATATGCGTCGGTATAAACTTCTAATGTCAAACTATTCCCTTTTTTAAAGAGAATTCCCTTTCCTGGAGTAGCCTTCAAGTATCGCAATATTCGATACACTGCTTGGAGGTGTACTTCCTTTGGATTGTGCATAAACTGACTCTGCATAAACTGACTCACCACACTTATTGCATATGCTACGTCTGGTCGTGTGTGTGAAAGATAGGATTAATCGTCCAACTAGTCGTTGAAACATGCCTCTGTCCACGGATTCCGAGTCTGAAGCTTCTCCTAATTTGTGGTTAGGCTCTATGGGAGTGTGATGGTCTACAACCAAGTCTGCTTGTTTCCTTCAACAAGTCTAGAATGTATTTCTGTTGTGAAATGAAGATCCTTTCTTTGGACCGTGCCACCTCTATTCCCAAAAAGTACTTTAGTTTTCCTAGATTTTTTATCTCGAATTCCTTGGCTAAGCACTTACGAAGAGCTTCCTTTTCTTCATGATCATCCCCAGTTACTATTATGTCATCCACATAAACTATCAACAGTGTAACTCCCCCTGAAGCCGAATGTTTGATAAATAGTGTATGATCCCCTTGGCTCTGCTTATACTTCATCTTCAACATCACCTTTGCAAATCTCCCAAACCACACTCTAGGTGATTGTTTGAGTCCATATAATGCTTTTCTTAGCTTGCATACTTTGTTTCTCCCAACATTCACTCCAAATCTAGGTGGAATTTCCATATAGATTTCCTCCCCAAGGTCACCACGCAAGAAAGGATTTTTCACATCATACTATTGCAAACTTCAGTCTAAATTAGCCGCTAATGACAGTAACAGTCTCACTATATTCATCTTCGCCACCGGTGCGAAGGTTTCTTGATAATCCACCCCATAAGTTTGGGTGTATACTTTAGCTACTAACCTTGCCTTATATCTCTCGAGTGATCCATCCACTTTATATTTTACTGGGAAAACCCATTTGCAACCCACTGGTTTCTTTCCACATGGTAATTCCACCAATTCCCATGTCTTGTTTTTCTCCAACGCTTCCATCTCCACTCTCATGGCTTGCTTCCACTCATCATTGCGAAGTGCCTCAGATATAGTTTGGAGTATGGCTATGGTGTTTAGATGTGTGAGAAAATTATAATGTGGGGGTGGCAGTTTTTTAAAGGATACAAAGTGGGATAATGGGTTGTCTAACATCTTTCCTTACAGCTATTGGTAGCTCAACATCATGAATTGTGGGTGATGCACCAATAGAGGAAGAATTTACCTCATTACCAGGTATGGAGTTGGACTCTTGGACTTGCACAGGATCGGCTATGAGAGCTTGCCTCCTTGAGTATAGTTGCAGCGGTTTTGTGCTTATTGGATTCATTGTCAAAGACGGAACTTCAAGACTGTTTTGGACAGGGTTATCTGGTCTGGGATTAAAGGTAGATGGCTCGGGAATAGGCACAATAGTGGATTCCACTGAAGGCTTGGATTGTATAGGAGGCACATATGGACTGATTGATGGTTCACGCAAGAACAAATCCTTATCTTCCATAGATGCTATCTCCCCCTGAAGATAAGGATGCGAGAAGTAGCTTTTTTGTTCAGCAAATATGACATCGGCAGAGACATAAGTTTTTTGAGTCATGGGATGGTAGCATTTATACCCGTTTTTGGTAGATGAATAACCTGTGAAGACATACTTAACTACACTAGGATCCAGTTTACCCCGACTGGGAGCAAGCACATGAACAAATTAAACACATCCGAAGACCTTAAGAACTGGTTTAGTTGACGTGTTGAAATCTGGGTAGAACTTGGAAAAAAACTTCCATTGGACTTTTAACGTCAAGAACTAGGGAACGAATGCGCTTTATCAAGTGGGCCGCTGTGAGCACGATTTATCCACCCATAATCTCCCAAATCTACAATTGTACAGCTGTACACATTTTCAAAATCAGCAAATCTTCCAACATAAAATAACCACTTAGTGAATGGTGTATTAAAAATTTAAATTGCTAGATTATGTAGATGTGTGTGTGTGTGTGTGTGTGAGAGAGAGAGAGAGAGAGAGAGAGAGAGAGTACAAACATGAGCAAATAGAAGACAATTGTTGAAACAAAAAATCGTTTTGCTTCCTAGGTTGATGCATTGAGGATGATGGCTAATTATATGGAGATTTGAAAATTTCCCTAAATATTCAATGAGTTGATCATAGAATGAAAAATTTTGTGAATGGACATAGAAATATATAACAGCATGATTTTGGTTCTGTACGTTGATAACATGCCAAAAACATTTAATCGTGATGAAAAGGAAAAGATAAAAAGAAAGAATAATTGTCTTTTGTTTTGGTTCCAAATAACCTATCTTAATTCTAAGTACATGGATAAAAGAAAATTGCTCTATTTAACATGTAGCAGGTTAAGGCTTCTGACTAATATTTCATTGTCTTGTTTGTAGGATGCTTTAGAACCCTATATGAGTAAAAAGACACTGGAGATGCATTGGGGTGGGCATCATCGTAATTATTTGGAAGGTTTGAACAAACAGCTGGCGAAGAGTGACATACTATATGGCTATACTATGGATGAACTTGTCAAAGTAACGTATAATAATGGGAATCCCTTACCTGAATTTAACAATGCTGCCCAGGTATTACATGTCTGCTTGCTCACTCATATACTCCCTCAATTGCGTTTTTGTATTTTTCTGGGTGAAATTTTCATAGTCTGTACCTCAAGGGACATTGCTTGTTAACAATACAGCCATATCGGAAAAAGAAAAGGATTTTCAAGCTTCTTAGCTAAAGCTGCAGTGTCATAAAATCTGATCATCAAATTTTGGGGCTTGGCAAACTTCATAGAATGAGTTCTAATTTAGCCTCTAGGATGGTAATAACCAAGAGGTTGAATTTACCAGAGATGTTTCTTTTTGTTGGCATGGGAGAGAAAAAAACAAAAAAAAAAAAACAAAAAGAAGAGAAGCTGCATTTATTTTCTTATACTTAAAACCTTCAATGTTTGCGTTGGGCCTCAAATCTGCATGCAGCTGTGACTTCAGCTAAACATATTTGTACTAACATTCTAATCATGTTCTACTTTAAGCATGCATTTTTTTGAATACATGAAATTAAATGTGTCCATGCAGAATAACTTTTTTGCAAACATTCTATAGCTCCAAATGATTTCTGATCCTACATTACCAGGTTTGGAATCATGACTTCTTTTGGGAATCCATGCAACCTGAAGGAGGGGACATGCCCCAGCTAGGCTTACTTGACCAAATAGAAAAGGATTTTGGTTCCTTTGCAAATTTTAGAGAGAAGTTCAAAGAAGCAGCACTAACTCTATTTGGCTCTGGTTGGGTTTGGCTTGTCTGTAAGTCCTTTCCTCAGTTATTTTTCGAATGATATGATTTGATGTATTTTAAATTTTTGACAAATCTTCATTATTTTTTTCGATTTGGCAATGCTTATCACTAATCTAATGTAGAAATAGAATGGCTATTAGCTTGATGACCAGGAATGGAAATTAGAAACAAAGAAATATCACTAATCTAATGTAGAAATAGAATGGCTATTAGCTTGATGACCAGGAATGGAAATTAGAAACAAAGAAATCTCATTTTTCTTCCACATCTCACAAATCATTTTACAATCTATGGCACCTGATAAGAAGACTAAGATGGCCACATTAATAATTTCATAGCAAACTTGATGCCTTTCCTGATGAAGTTGACTAAGTTTTAGAACATTGTCATGTGGCAAAGTTGAATGTGAAAATGATAAACCCCCAATACATTTTACTTATGCGAGGCGTGCTAAGGCACGTGATGTGGGGCAGTAAGTGAATTGTTTTTGCTGTTTTGGGGGGGGGGAGTGGGTTTGGGATTGTGGGAACTTATGGAAAAGAATGTGATTTTTGTTAAATAAATAATGCATAGGGTGGGATATAAAAGGGGAAGGACATGGTTTCTGTTCCTTAGGCAAAAATTGGATCAGGACCTCATTGGGAGAGAGTGAGCCTCTTGAAAGCTCACAACCATTTGTATTGCTTAATTTCTTCATTTAATTGAGTAATACCATTCCAATTTTGTCTCAAAATTACAAGATTCTATCATTTGGTATCAGAGCACCAATCCCATGGCTCTAAAACCAGGGGAGCCGGAGCAACTAACGGCGGCGGAGAAAGGATTAGCGGCTGTGGAAACTCAGATCGAATCAATAAGAGTAGATCTATAGAAACTCGTGGCAATGGAGAAAAATCTGGAGGTGGTGATGGAGAAGATAACAGTGCTGGACCGCATGGAGAAGGTATTGCAAAGGATGGAGGTGGTGGTCAAGGAGGACCCAAACGGTGGGGACAAAGGAAAGCTCCACACCGGAGAGACTTCGCCGGCTTTGGAAGCGTCGACCCAGAAGTCAACAATGGCGGATCTTCAGACGTTGGGTCAGCTCAAGGAGGATCTGGAGTGGAAGAGGATGGCGGTGCAGGGTCTGAAGGAAGCAAGACCGCTGATGTTTGGGAGACGTTTTTTGAGGGGAGGATGGCGGCGGTGCCTTTGGGAAGTCGTTTGGAGATGCCAATCTTTGATGGAGACAATCCGGAAGGATGGATTTACTAGGCCGAGAAGTATTTTTCCTTGAATTGAATGTTAGAGGCTGAGAAGTTGGCGGCGGCAGCGATTAGGCATGGAAGGGGAGGCTCTCGTGTGGTTTCAATGGGAAGATTGCCGACGTCCAGTTCGAAATTGGTCGGAATTGAAGCTCTTACTCTTGGATCGGTTCCGGCTCACATAAGAAGGATCGATTTGTGAAAAATGTTTAGCACTACGTCAAGAAGGGTCGGTTCGACAGTACCGATGGATGTTTGAGCTTGCTTCTCCGTTGTTGGATGTTCCGAAGCATGTGTTGGAGAGTAATTTCATTAATGGACTAAGGCCAGAAATAAGGGCGGAGGTGAGGATGATGAAGCCAATTGGGCTAGCAAGGCTGATTGAGTTTGCTCAATGGGCGGAGGATTGAAATGCACTGCTCAAGCAGGTTAGACCAGAAATGACTTGGCCGAAGGGTGGGCTCGGAAGTTTCAGCTCATCGGGAACTACTAGTATAGCATAGCTTCCTTCATCCCCAAAGACGCATCCAATTGGGCTCAAGAACACAGGTCAGAGAACCTTCCCCTGACTTAAAGAAGCTCACAGATTTTGAGTTGCAATCAAAGCGAGAAAAGGGACTATGTTTTCAGTGTGATGAAAGTATTCAATAGGCCATAGGTGTAAAAACAGGGAGCTGCACGTCCTTGGGGTTAATGATGATTCTGAGCAGGAGGAAAAGGGAGTGGAGGGAGAAGAGGAGAGTGGAAGAGAAGTGGCGGAAGTGGGGGAAACAATGGAGTTGTCAATTAATTCGATATTGGGACTCACTAATCTGAAGACAATGAAGATCAAGGGACAAATTGGTCAGCAGGAGATGATGTCATGGTGGGTTGCAGGGCAACTCATAACTTCATTTCAATGGAGTTGGTAGAGAAATTGGGAATTCCCCGAGTGGATACAACAGGATATGGGGTGTTGATGGGAACTCGGCTGTCGATAGAGAGAAGGAATGTTTAACGGAGTGGTGTTGACGTGACAAAATGTTGAGAAGGTAAATGATTATCTTCCATTGGAATTGGGAAGTGCGGATGTGATCCTCGGCATGATGGCTTGAGTCATTGGGAGGGATGCAAGTGAATTGGAGGACATTTACCATGAAGTTTAAGGTGGGGGGAGTAGGGGTGACCTTGCAAGGCGGCCTCAGCCTTTGTAGATCGTTGGTGTCCCTTTAGGCTATGATGAAATCCTTGAAGGCACAATGTGGGCAGTTGGGCAGTTGCAGCAGTTTAAGGGGGTTTTTGAATGGCCGGGTTGTCTTCCGCCAAGGTGGATGATGCCATTACACTACAGCCAGGAATAGCCCCCGTGAATGTGCGACCCTACCGTTATCCTCACATCCAGAAGGGGAGATCGAGAAGCTGGTGTTGGAAATCCTACGGGCAAGGATCATCCAGCCTAGTGTTAATCGTTCTTGAGTATGGTTTTGCTAGTCAAGAAGGACGGTACCGGATAAATTCCTTATTCCTATGATAGATGAATTGTTGGATGAGTTGCATGGGGCACAAGTGTTCTCGAAGCTTGACCTTAAGTCGGGATACCATCAAATACGGGTTCGATGCGAGGATATCCCTAAGGCTGCATTCCACACTCATGAAGGCCATTACGAATTCCTTGTAATGCCATTTGGCTTAACCAACGTCCCGGTGACGTTTCAAGGCCTCATGAATGACATTTTCAAGGACTGTCTCTAGAAGTTTGTTCTAGTGTTCTTTGATGACATCCTCGTGTACAGCCGACCAACGAGGACCATGTAGCGCACTTGGGCAGATCTTGGCGGCAAATCAATTGTATGCCAATGAAAGAAATGCGTGTTCGGCCTGCAGCAACTCGAGTAGTTAGGCCATATCATCTCGGGCCAAGGAGTTGCCGCGGATCAGTTCAAAATTGAAGCGTTGCTCCAATGGCCGACTCCACGGAACCTCAAACCTCTACGGGGGTTCCTAGGGCTCACAGGTTACTGTCGGGTATGGCAGCTTGGCTTGGAGAAAGATAGCTTCAGTTCGAATCAGGCAGCAGAGGATGCTTTTTGTGCTCTCAAGATTGCTACGACATCAGTCCTTGTTCTTGTCTTGCCAAATTTTACTCAACCATTTGTTGTTGAAACAGACGCTTCGGGTCAGGACCTTGGGGCAATCCTGATGCAAGCCCACCGTCCCATCGCTTTCGGGAGTCGCGTTCTCACACCGCGAGAGCGTTTAAGATCAATGTATGAGAGGGAGCTTATGGCCATTGTGTTTGCAATGTGGAAATGGCGACACTATTTGTTAGGGCGTAAGTTCTTAGTCCGCACAGACCAACGTAGCTTAGAATTCTTGTTGGAGCAGCGGGAGGTTAGCTTGGAACGTCATAAATGGCTAACCAAATTGTTGGGATCTGATTTTGAAATCCAATATAAGCTTGGTTTGGAGAACAAGGCCGTTGATGGTCTTTCCCGTTTGGAGCCGGTTCCTTCCCTCATGGCCTTGACGGTTCCTCACCTGCTTATATTAGATGAGCTTGCAGCCCAAGTTGTTGCAGATCCGAAGCTGGGTCCACTGGTAGCAGTGCTCAAACTCGATCCATCAGCCATGCCCGGGGTACTCCCTGGTTCAAGCACAATTACTGTACAAGCAACACTTCGTCTTACCACGCACCTCTCCTTTTGTTCAATTGATGATGCATGAATGCCATGACAGCAGCGTGGGAAGGCATTCTGGGGTGCTTAAAACTTACAAACGGGCTGCCGCGAACATGTACTATGAAGGAATGAAGCTTGATTTATAGAAGTTTGTTGCGCAATGTACCGTTTGCCAATAGAATAAGAACCCCACCCTTGCCCCAAGTGGATTGCTGCAGCCCCTACCAATTCTGGATCAGGTTTGGGATGATTGTCCGATGGAGTGGACTCTGTTATGGTGGTAGTGAATCATTTGAGCAAATATGCTCACTTTATTGGGCTCAAACACCGTTTACGGCACACACAGTGGTTGAATATTTCGTGTGCAACATTGTCCGCTTGCATGGCTTGCTGAAGTTCATTGTGTCGGATAGGGATAAAGTGTTCTTAAGTAAGTTTTGGACAGAGCTTTTTCGGCTACAAGGGACCCACTTCAAGCATAGCACTGCGTACCACCCCCAAACAGATGGGCAAATGGAGGTCGTCAACCGTTGTTTGGAGACCTACCTGCATTGTTGAGTCTCCATGAGACAGAAAATGTGGGCACGGTGGCTATCTTCGGCAAAGTATTGGTATAACACGACTTATCACACGGCTACCTGCACTACCCCTTTCCGAGCTCTATATGGTCGGGATCCCCCTCCTTTGGTTCGTTTTGAACGAGGCACAACTCCTTACTCCACTGTGGACCTTCAGTTGGTGGAGTGTGAAGCGGTCTTGGATGAATTGAAGGCTCAGTTGCATTGTGCACAGCAGAAAATGAAAGGGGTGGCCGATGCTCGACGTCGGGACGTACACTTTGAGGTGGGAGATCTGGTTTACCTCAAGATTCGTTCGTATCGACAGCGTTCCTTAGCTATCCGGACCGACGAGAACCTGGCTCCTCGTTTCTTTGGCCCATACAAGGTGCTAGCCAAGATCAGACATGTGGCTTATAGGTTACAATTGCCCGATAGCATGACCATTCATCCCATGTTTCACGTCTCGCAGCTGCGTCGGGCCATTGGGACTTCCCTTGCATCTGCAGACATTCCTCCCCAGCTGAGCGAGGACTTTGAAATGTTGGTGGAGCCTGCAGCAGTGCTGGATTTACGGACTTGTTCTCCTCGTCAAGTGGAGGTGTTGATCCGCTGGGAGGGCTGCCTGATTCTGAAGCCACTTGGGAACCGTTCGAAATGATTCAACAACAATTCCCTAAGTTTCACCTTGAGGACAAGGTGACTTTTAGGGCGGGGGGTATTGATAAACCCCCAATACGTTTTAATTGGATTAGGACCTCATTGGGAGAGAGTGAGCCTCTCGAAAGCTCACAACCATTTGTATTGCTTAATTTCTTCATTTAATTGAGTAATACGGACAACATTCCAATTTTGTCTAAAAATTACCAGATTCTATCAGAAAATCATACTTCTTGTTTCTAATTGCTCGTGTATGGGATTTGTGATTTTAAGCATAACCTTGCCTGGTCTGCTCATGAGTCAGGCTCTTCCTTACCTTTTCTTCTGAAGCTTTTTTTCCTCTCATTTTCCTCTCATAAATTTGAGCTATATCTTGTAAGTTGCACTTTCATTGCAAACACTAAGATCAATGTATCAAAGTTCACCTTATGGGGTTGTCCGACCTTTTGAGGTTCCCACAAAACACATGAATTATGACTCCGAAACCGAACGATATGGTCTCTTTATGTTGCTACTTATTTCTTTGGTTACTAACGTCTCCTTTTTTGTTTGATTATTTTAGTGAAAAGGAACGAGAAACGACTTGAGATAATTAAAACAACAAATGCAGTAACCCCGCTTGTCTGGGATGATATAGTAAGTCAAGCGATATTCTCTGGATAGTTTCCTTATAGGTTCACGATTAAGTTGAAATATGATTATGTTAAAATATAAAATTATTATTGGCCCACCTCCTACATGCTTAAGCTTTTGGGATGAATTGGTACACTAACAGATTCCTTTCTAGAAAAAAGAGAAAAAAAAGGAGAGAAAAGTTGAAATTTGATCATCTTTCATTCCTTTCTTTGCAGCCCATAATCAGTTTGGATAGATATGTGGGAGGTACTCTCTCTCTCTCTCTCTCTCTCTCTCTCTCTCTCTCTCTATATATATATATATATATATATATATGTATATGTATATGTACGCATTATCTTTTCCTAAACATTTTTGGAGATCTAATAATATCTCATCTCTGCACGCAGCACGCATATTACCTGGATTACAAGGTACGTAAAACCACTATGTTTATGCCTAACCTAATCTTGCCAGTATGATTTTCTGTGTAGTGATCCTCTTCTCCATCTTCCTAGCAGAATGACAAAGGGAAGTATGTGAATGTGTTTATCAACCACCTCGTGTCTTGGAATATGGCGTCGGCTCGCCTCGGCCGTGCTGAGGCCTTTGTGAATTTTGGCCAACCTAAAGTGCCTATTGCCTAACTAAGGAAATGTTTTGACACCACAAGATTTTCATATTTTACATATGATTTATTTCATCTGTTTTCTTCAAAGGGTGCAATTTTTGTCCGTGTCTTTTATATTCTGAGTGGCCTTGCTATATTTATAGCAGAGTTTGTGTGACATATCTTTAGGAATGCAAAAGCTTCAATTGCATTGCCCCGTAATCTCAAACTAGAAATTATGAAGTTTGATGAATCAGTCATTTATTGTTGTTTTAGGCTTTGTTTAAGTCTGAAAGCTTCCCCTTGTTTTTCAATTGTCAATTTTTTCCCCATAAAGCTAAACAATTTTGCATATGCGCCACTATGTACATTTTTATGAAGGTTTTTTTTTTTTTTTTTTTTTTTTTTTTTTTTTTTTTTTTTAAGGTTTTTTTTTTTTTTTTTTTTTTTTTTTTTTTTTTTTTTATCATAAGAGAGCTCGTCACTGAAAACTAAATAAATAAGTAAATAAATAGCTTTTTAATTAAGAAAACATTCACAATAACAAATTAGCTTTTAATTTCACATAAGTTAGTAAATTACAGTGTTCACGGATCCCAATCTGCGGATTTAGGGCCAATTTGCAATCCGATCTAGAACTGCGGATTGGGAAAATTTCAATCCGTGTCCTATCTAAATTTTTTTTAGATTAGATTCATAGATTCACGGATTCCGACATTTAAAAATATAAACCAATAAACATCTATACAAAATAAACACAACATGAAATATTAATAAACATCCAAATTGTTACTTCAAGTAAAAAAAATAAAAAATTTTTAATAGGGACAAGGGAGATCAAATATGTACCATTAAGTATATGCCAGATTTTTAAAAATAAAAAATAAAAAAAATTTACTTATAAAAATATATATAATTATAAAAATTATATGTATATATGGTTTCGGATTTATGGATTTTATTGATTGAAAAGTGTTCAATTTGCAATCTAATAAAAAACTTTCGGATTTAGAAAATCTAAATCCGTCTCCAATCTAAAATTATTTTAAATCTAATCCAAAACATGGAATTGGATTGATTCTGTGAATACCATTAATTACAGTAAATATAGATTCATTGGATTCACCCAAGGACTAAATTTAATGAATTTGGAATTTACTCTGAAAATTCAGGTTTAACGTATTGCTTAATTATGATATTTTCGCAATTTACTATGTTTTCCATTTGACCAAAATTCAAAATTTTACGGGTTATAATTAAATTTAATAAATTTTAGATTTATCCATTTAGTCTGATAAAGCCTCAAAATAATATATGCCCTTTATTATTGTTTACTGTTTACTTTTTATTTCTTAATTATTTAATAACTAAACTCATTATTTACTCTTACAATCTTCTTTTAAAATAATGTCGTTTATTACAATATTCTTTTGAAATTATAAATGTTATTTATTAACTATTGTTAAAACCAAACTATTAACTTAAACATTCTTTAAAAAGAGTGTTAAATACGTACTCTATTTCAGACTCTAATTTAAAATGGGATGATTTCTCATTGACGGCACCACTAGTTTTGTCTCTCTTAGCTTCGCCCTTCTTTGCTCAGCCTTGATTCTCAAATTGACGTTCCTACATTATTTCTCAGAAAAAAGCTATAACTCTTCTTTTGAGATTCCTTTCGGTTTTGGAAAGGTAATTTCAAAGAAATCCAGGTATTTATATTCATGTAAAAGCATCAGACTTTCTTAAGGGTAAGTTTGTTTCATGAGCTTAAAACCATCGTTTTAATTTTGTTATAATATATTTCTCCAACAAAAAATTTAAAATTTAAAAATTATAATCAAATTCATTGGTCTAAATCTTGATTTGAACCCATGAACTAAATAAGTATTTATATTTTAAAGGCTTTTCAAAACGTGTTCTTATATCTCTCGAATAAAAAAAAAAGCGTGAAGGAATCAAACCAAAAACCCTTCGCTCCCCACTTTCTTGGTCACCGGTGCTGCCCCCACTCCCGACACCACCGCCCCTGCTATTCATCAAGTCCGACGTCCATCTCTGTCGCACTCCGGTGTTGTTTCTGATTGCTTGAAGATTCAATCTCTAAAATTGATAAACTAGTCTCAAAATCTATTATTTTGCTTTAAATAGTGATTAAAAGATTGGGTTTTCATATTTGTGTATTTAAAAAACAACAAGATTCATGTCATTTTGATGTTTACTCGATCTGTAAAATTTAAAATTTCAAAGAAGAACGATAATGAATAGTAATGGGCAAACCGACATGACTGATCAAACTAGTTTGAAATTTTTTAACCGGTCAGAATGATATTGTCGGTTTGCTCATTATTTAAATTCATGGCGATTTTATTTATTTATATTTTTTTGTCATTCTTCAATAGTAATATTTTTTATCATCTTTATAGGAGATATAGATTGTCAATCGTTGAGTTTGAATTTAGATTTTGCTATCATAATTCAATAAATTTGAGTATTTGAGGCATAACTTAAGAGTTAGAAGATCGATTTTCTCACCGAACCAAAGAACAAAACAAATCGGTCTTTCCAATCCGCCTAACAGATTGGATTGTGGGTTTTCCTCTGGTTTGCTCGGTTGGAAAGGAAAACTCCTCTAATCATGAAAATTGAATGAACTAGTTGATCTTGAATTTAGATTTTATTACTAGAATTCAATAGCTTTGAGTGTTTGAGGCACTATTTGTGAATTAGAAGATGATTTTCTCACAAGAAGAAAGAACTGTATGATCGGTCTTTTTGATCCACCTAGCAGACCGGACTGCGGTACGCTCGATTTTCTCGGTCTGATAGAAATGTCATAAATTTATTGGCTGAGATAATATTATCACATCATTACTATCGTAACACTACAATTTCTATATTATCTATATTCATAATTGCTAGTGTCATTTTAAAAAAATTAACTTTCTCCATAAGACGGACTTAAACTTTTATGTAGATTTGCCAACAAAAATTTCTTAAATTGAGCTTTAAGTTGGAGTTCTTAATCATAATTTCACAAGCTTAGTTCACCGAGGTAATAGTATCACACAATTACTTTAATTGCATTATGTCAATAAAATGAGGTTGTATAAGACCGATTTTCCCTCCAGTTTGCTTGGTTGGAAAGGAAAGCTCCCTTTCTCATGAAAAGTGAATTCACTTGTTGATCTTGAATTTATATTTTGCTACTAGAATTCAATGACGTTGAGTGTTCGAGGCACTATTTGTGAATTAGAAGATTAATTTTCTCACCAGACCAAAGAACGGTACGATCAGACTCTTTGATCTGCCTAGTAGACCAGACTATTGTACGTTCGGTTTTCTCGATCCGTAAGAAATCATTTGGACAGAAAATTCAATTTTATTTTAAATTTTGTAATAAGACAATTCCATGAATTTATTGGCCGAGGTAATATCATCACATCATTACTATTGTAACATTATAATTTCTACGGAAATAGTAGAAAATATGCCAATATGAAAAGCTTAAGAAAGTATATAGGCCAATTTTTAGTTATAGAAATTAATAGGCCATAACTTGTCAAGTTATGGTTACCAAATAAGTTATGGACAAACTTGTCAAGTTATGGTTCATAGCCAGACAAGTTATGGACAAAAACCGTGAATTATAGACAATAACTTGTCAAGTTATGGTTCATAACCAGACAAGTTATGGACAAAAACAGTATTTTGGCCTATTTATTAACTTATGTAAACTATTGACCTATTAATTTTAATTCATCTCAAGTCTTAGTCTATTTCCCTCTTTCTCCCTAATTTCTATATTATTTATATTCATATTTGTCAGTCTCATTTAAAAAAAAAATTAACTGTCTTCATAAGGCGGACTTGAAATTTGAACTATAATGTTGATTTGCCAACAATAATTTATTAAATTAAGCTTTTAGTTGATAGTCAACGTATTCTCATTCCTTGATAAATTTAAATTGCGCAGTCTATTTTTCTAACGAATTACCGAAAAAAAAGAAAAAATTGTGTTGCGACTCCTAAAGTAAACTAACGACAACCTAATAAGCCATTAACCATAGGAAAAAAAAAAATTAACCACCTAAGTGATCAAATAAGATGATTGCAAAGAAATACATGTAAGAATCAAATTACATATTTAAGAAATAAAAATTTAGTCATAAAAAATATCTAAAATAGAAAAAATTGACAAATATAAATATAGATAATATAAAAATTGTAGTGTTACAATAGTAATGATGTGAAAATATTACCTTAGCTAATAAATTCATAGAATTATCATTCACAAAATCTAAAATAAAACATAACTTTCCATCCTAATGATTTCTTTCGAACCGAGAAAACTAAGTGTACCTCAGTCCGGTCTGTTGAACGGATCGAAAAAATTGATCGTTCCATTCTTCGATTCTGTGAGGAAATCGGTCTTCTAAATTATTAATAGTGTCTCGAATACTTAAATTTATTAAATTATGATAACAAAATATAAATTCAAAATCAACGATCAAATCCAATCTTCATGAAAGTCATAGTCACATTTATAACACGCTTCCAGCATTGACGAAGAAAGAGAAATAGAACTAACTTTCAAATCTATACTTATGCAGGAAACTTTTTAAATATCACAAAACTTCACTTTATTTAGATCGTCTAATAATACCAAACTCCTCTCATTATTCCTCGAGAACCATTTGTAAAAGTCATCCTCTTTCTCGTTCCATTCCCTATCACATTTACAATGTATGACAATCTCAATCATTTTCTTATAAATATGATAAAAAAATATTACTATTAGAGAATGATAAAAAATTTTAAAATAAATAAAATGACTACGAATTCAAGTAATGAGCAAATTAGAAATACCGTTCAGACCGTTCAAACTGTTCAGATCGGTTACAAAATTTCAAACCGGTTTGATCAGTCTTCCTAGTCTGCTCATTACTATTCATTATCGTTCTTCTTCGAAATTTTCAATTTTCTAGGTCAAGAAAACATGGACATGAATTTTGTTATTTTTTTTTCTCAAATAAAACATATAAATATGAAATCCTAATCTTCTAACAACTATTTAAAGAAAAAAAGAATAGGTTATAAGATTAATTTACCAGCCTTAGAGCTTGAATCGTCAAGCTTTTAGAGTTTGATAATCTTAGGATTTGTTTCCTCCAATCACCCGAGATAATGTCAGAGTGCGACGAAGATGAAAATCAGAGATAAACGACGATAGGGGGTGGCACTAGCCAAAAAGAATAGGAAGGGGGTGCCAGCCAAAAAGATTAGGAAGGGAAGGTGTTTTTGGTTTGAAGAGGTTTTTTTTTTTAAAGAAATAAGATGAGTTTTTCCTTCTTAATTTGTAAATTTTAAACAAGGATAATATGGTCTTTTGATACAAAAGTTGAAGGAAAATAAATGGAAAAGCAATATTTAAGAGTTTTTACCACATTTGTCCTTGAATTTGTAATTGTAAGACGCCACATTTTAAAGATGATTATGTTAAATTAGTGTTAGAAAAGTACGTCTCAATTCAAAATAAAATAAATCTTTTAATTTTTTAATTTTTAATCTATTAAATCTAATAAAAATTTGAATAAATTTATTAAAATGGGACATATTTTTATAAATTTATAAATTTAGGTGGTTGATTATTAAAATTAAAAGTTTAAGAAATAATTTACTAAAACACAATTTATAAACACAATTTATAAATAAGTTCGGGCGACAATTGTGTTAAAACCCCAAAATTCAAAACGGGGCTAACGTGGAAAGACGTTCGAATAGATCCTTCTCCTTCTGCTTCTAATTTTCTTCTTGCTTTTCGATGTGGTGACTAAAATCCAAACTCCTAAAGTCCAATCTCGTAAAGCAATTCTTCTGGTTCGAATTCGCTGCTCTCGTCTAAGAATCCGGTAAAGTTTTCGTCTTTAATCTCGGAGGAATTGGGGGGTAGAGTTTCGCTGCCGAGGAATTGGAAGTAACGCCACCTTCGATTGCCTCTATTCCGATCGAAAAGGTCTCTCTCTCTCTCTCTCATTTTATTGAAACTTTGGATATGTTTGTTTGTTTGGGATTGGGAAATCTGAAAGATTCTGTCTATTTTAATTCGTGTATTATTATGTAACAACCCTTAATTGAAAACATCGACAAGAAATTCTTCCTTCCATGTTTTTGGTACTGAGTGATATCTAGCGATTCTTAACGGTTCTAGGTAACATAGCATCGCCCCTTTAATCACTAATTGTATCCTCTCTGTTTGAGTCTCATCTCATGGATTTACAAGTATTTTATTTTATTTTGTTTTATTATTATTATTATTTTTTTTTATCATCGCTTGTCCATATTTTGCTTTATTTTAAGAATTTGTTTTGACATTCAGAAGTTTGTTGATGTAAATTTGTTTTTTCTTTAGGTAATTCAATTAGAGTGGTACTACTTTGCTCAATGTTTTTCCTTTGGATAATTTAATTAACTTGTCATTTAATCAGCTGTTGCTCAATGTTTCTTAATTCCTATACACATTCCTGTGCTTTCCTCTGTTTTTTGATCCCTTTTATGCAAAAGATGTTATGAGTGATGAGGAGACACAAATTCCATCATTGATGCCAACTGGCTCTTCATATTTTTCAGGTCTGTAGTTAATCTTTCATAGGCAAGTTGCCTAGTTGGGTAATGTAGGTTTCACAAAAAAAAAGTGACAAACTAGTCCTTCACTGAGACAGTTAAGTAATTTAGGTTTGACCCAAGTGCTACATTGGAGAGAATTTGATTGGCCTTTACTCTTACTGTCGAAAATGATGGAAGTCCTCACTCCCACTGCTCGCATACAGTTGTCCGAGATGTTTTTGGCAGTATTCTTTTTCCATAGTTCCGAGTACCTATTAGCGATCACCTTTCATGGGCGGGCCAATGTTACTCTTGGATCTCTTCTCATCAGCCAAAATTATCTTATCGCGATGATCTTCTCGTTGGTCGAGTATTTGACTGAAGTCCGTCTCTTCCCTCAACTGAAGGAACACTGGTGGATAAGCTACTTTGGGCTTGTGATGGTTGTGGTTGGGGAAATTGTTCGTAAGATGGCAATCATAACTGCCGGTACTGCCTTCAATCACATGATTAGGACTCGTCCTGATGAGCATCACAAACTAGTTACGCACGGAATCTATAGATATATACGTCATCCTGGATATTCTGGTTTCTTCATATGTTCAGTCGGTTCCCAGATAATGCTTTGTAATCCGGTGTCGACGATTGGGTTTGCGATGGTTGTTTGGCGCTTCTTTTGTCAACAAATACCATATGAAGAGTATTTCTTGAGGCGGTTTTTCGGCTTGCAGTACGATGCATATGCAAGACGCGTTCATTCTGGTGTTCCATTCGTAAGGTAAAAACTTGAGGGGTTCTACGAGCAGAGCTAACTTCATTTTGATTAAATTTTGTAGTTCCTCTGCCGCTTTTTAGGAGGGCTTGGATTTTTGAAGTTTTAAGTTTTAACATATAAACTGGTGCCAAGAGTGATAGAGCTTTTTATCTTCTTCCATTGTATCTAATCTGGTGATAGCTTATCTAGGGTAGACAAAACCCATCAGAGTTAATGACATCTAATAAGCTATATCTGAATGCTGAAGCCTGTAAAGTCTATATCCCAAAAACTTGCATATTCTATGACTAAATTTGCCACTTTAAACTAATTTAATGCTGTAGTTTGTGTATGTTTTGCGCCTTCACTAAACACACGCACTTTCTAAAATAGAAGTATAATATGAATTAGAAGAATTAGACTTGTAGAGGAGTTAAACATTACTCTTCTTAATTGCTGACAGCATCATGTTCTTAGAGTACTACACCTACCATGGTAAATACTAAATAGATGGGTAGTTCCTTTTATTTCTGGAGTGTAGTGATGTCCCGTTTAATTCGCTGATTCGAGTTTTTAATTCGAATTGATATGTGATTTTATGTGAGAGTTTTTTATAGTAGTAAAAAAGTTAAATGTGACTATTTCTTAGAGATTTTTACTGTAATAAAACTTGAATTCTAAACTCGAATCTATAAAATGAATGAGGCTTGAGTCTGAAAAATTACTTCATAACTTAGTTCCACTTCTTTTCCGTTTTAAGGAGACGTTTAGTTCATAGATTAGAATCATGATATTAGAATTATTTTCGATTTACGTGTATTTTTTGTGAGAGAAAATTCTGTAACGAATCATGAATTATGATTTGAATCAGGTACGAATCCTCTAACTAAATAACCCCTAAAAATGCATTACTTTCGGATTTGCAGTCGGATACCCCGTCAATCATTGCGTTTGTAGTCAGGTATAGTTTTAGGTAGACTTGTTGGCTCAACCTGACCAACATCCTTTGGGTTATTGATTAAAGGATTTGTTACCATGTTGTTGATTTTTCATGAAATACTATATTTATAAGTTCTCTATATAAAATTAATCCTGATTAAAACTATATTGTAAAGCATTGTAGTTTAATATTTATGGTAATTTAAGTGTTTGTTTCATATAATCAAATTCATATCATTAATTTTGAGAAATTTAAATTTTTAACGTTAGAATCAATAATTATTGTTTGACTATAGGAGAAAGGATACAAATATTCCTTGTGTAAGGGTTAAGATTTCTATTCTTTACTCTTAATTGATAATATTTTTAATCAAATAACTATACTAATAAAAAGATATTAATTAAGAATTATGAATAAAATTTAGACTCATGTATTTTTAAAAGTAAATTTTGTAATTTTTTCTTGAGGGGGTATACTTTCTAGACGAGCCCAAAATAAGGGACACAGATAGTTTTCTGGATGGCTTTTTTTTTTTCCTTTTTTTTTTTTCTAAAAGAAAGTACATTTTATCATTTGTCATCCTACAAATGCTAAATAAAAAAGTAATTTTTAAAAAATACTACTTAAAATGGAGTTCCTTTTTATTTACACACTTAATATTAACATATATATTTTTACCTTTATTAAAATTAATTAAGGGGTAGAGTTTTTAATATGAGTGCTTTTAATGAGTGGAGCACTAAAGGATTTCTCTAAATTAAAATATCATAAATGAATTCAAACCCATAACTCCCACCAAAATTTCTCTTCTACCCCTCTCCAATCTCCTCATGCCATTAGACCAAAGAGTCGTAGACTATAAAAATAAACTTTATTATAGACGTCTATTAAACGAAAAACGAAAGAAAGAAGAAAAACAACTACCTTAATTGAATAAGGTAATAATATGATATTCAAAAAAAAAAAAAAATTGGATAAGGTAATAATAATGTAATGAAATCCAATTAGGATTGACTAACAAATTCACCCGCAAATAGTAATAATATTGTAATGAAATCCAATTAGGATTGAATAACAAATTCATCCGTAAATAGTAACTTTTTATTTTTCTATAAGATAACAAAAGAATACTAATTTTCATTTCTTGAACAAGTGTCACAAAGGCCTCGTTCATTTCGCTGATTCGAGTTTACAATTCAAGTTTTGTTACAATAAAAAGCTCTCATAAACAGTCACATTTAACTTTTTTGTTACAGTAAAAAGCTCTCACATAAAATCACATCTCAACTCGAATTCTAAACTCAAATCAACGAAACGAACGAGGCCAAAAAAGTTGTTTTCGAGCATGTTGTTCATCTTTATGCGGTTTTTTGGCGGCTTTGGTATGTGGGGGAAGGCGAGTGATCGTCTGGTAGTGGGTTGGTCGGTAGTTGTGGGGAGCGGCAGCGCATGCATGCCAACCCATCAGCTTTCTATCGATTTTTTACATCATATTTCTACTTCTTGCTTTGAGATTTTGGCTGATAGATTTTCTTTTTATTCATTTATAATAACGTTGGTTATTAACCTTATTAGTTCGTTTTTTTTTTTTTTAATGTTTGATTGTTTTTAAATCTCTTAAATTTGTTTTTTATGGCTCTTTTTATTTAACCTTTGTACTATAATTTTCTTTATACAGTTGATTGAATATTATATCAACTGGAGAGATTTTGTTAAAAGGAAATGTGATCTTTGGTTCATCGGTGGAAACGGTCAGGAGCAGAGCTCGAAAAAGTAGTCGGGGGAGGGGTACTAAAGGAGGCAGGACTTTCTGATTTTTCCGTTGTTTCTTTCTGTTCAACCTTTTTTTAACGTCTTTTTGATTATTTTTATCGTTTTACCCTTAGTTTCTTACTCATTCATTTTATTTTGTTCGGGTTTTTTTTTGTAATTTCACCTCTGTTTTTTCAGTATTTTGTTTTTTTACCATTCTTGAGAAGCTTCTCGTGCTTCTTTCTGTGAAGCTTCTGGACTTCATCATTTATGTGTATTTATTTATTTTTTTCTTCTCTCTCTTCTTTTTTGTGAGACTTTTGGGATTTAATTTTTATGTTTATTTGATTTTTTGGTTTCTCTTTCTTCTCTGTTTTCTTCTAAACTCCATTTCCTTTCTATTTCTTGCCGTTTCTTCTGTTGTGCTCTGGATTCCATCTGTAAAAAAAATTTATTTGGTTTTCCGGTTTCTTTTTCTTCTCTGTTTTGTTTTTGTAATTTTGCCTCTCAATCTTCTTTACTTTTGCTCTTCCTTTCCGTGAAGCTTCTGGACTTCATCATTTTTGTGCATTTATTTTTTCCCTTCTCTCTCTCTTCCTCTCCGTGAGGGGCTTTTGGGATTCATTTTTTAAGGCCTCGTTCATTTCACCGATTTGAGTTTTCAGTTTTAAATTTTTACAGTAAAAAGCTCTCAGAAAATGTCACATCTAACTTTTTCGGTTACAGTGAAAAGCTCTCAGAAAATGTCACATCTCATATCAAATTAAAAACTCAAATCCGCAAAGTAAACAATGTCTTAAATATCCGTGCAATCGCACGGATATTCCACTAGTATACTAAGCTAAAAGAGGTGGCGTAAATATAGAAATATATTATTTTAGGCTGGTCGCCCACCCTCGTTTGTGGGTGGCGGTGCTTTATGCCTTATATTAGGAGGTTGTAAGTATTGATATAATATTAGTTTTTGTAATACCCTTTTCATTAGTTAATATAAATTTTATCCTTTTTCAAAACAAAACAAAAAACGGCGCATTAAAATCTTGTGGCTTAGAATTGGGATTCTTGAATACCATGTATGTTGTAGGGTAAAACGCCGAACTCTAAATTATATCTTTATTGGGGCTTGACGACCATAAAGAAGAGTATTGAATGATCAAGTACAACGCAGCTTTAAGAGCCATGTCAGCATGTAGCATTCTTAAGAGCCAACTGTTATAAGAAAGCATCTGATATAAATAAGAGGTTGACCGTTGTGAGAAAGGGATATGAGGTCGACCACACTCATAGATGATAACGAAGAAGATAAAGAAAGCATCTACGGAGTCGAGGCTACGCAAAAATAATCATGCAAAAGATTTCCTCCAAGATTAATTATTTGTAATATAGAAATATGAAATTTAAATAAAGAAATCGTCCTAATTTGTGATCTCTATCTTTTGAAAAATATCCTTGAATTTGAATAGGGAAACAATTAAGGGCGGTGACCTAAGGTATAAATAAAGGATTATAGGTAAAAAAATCCTTATGTCTCATTCTAAGCATTAGTGCGTGTACTTTCTCCAAAGATGGTGAAATTTCTCTCCTCCCCACAATGGACGTAGCTCGCGAATTGAGGGTAAACCACTATAACTTCTATGTGTTCTTGTTTAAATTTTGCTTTTAATTGAGTTTTAGATCATTTAATTTGCTCAAATCGTTTATAAATTCTTTATTATTCTATTGATGAATTTTCACTGTCAACAATTGACGACTCTACTGGGGACTGAACCCAGAATCTCCGATTAGCGCAAAGAATTCCGGTGAGAAAAATCGACTTGAAGCCATGCCTCTGAGAAGAATAAGAAGCAACGCTGCGAATCAAGGCAGCCAAATTGATGAAAACTCTGTGAACCAAGGCAATCAAGCTAACGGAGGAAGGGGTGAACATCAACCTAATCTAGAGAATCAATCTGTGGCTGTGAATGAAGAGGTTCTAACACCAAGTGTGCCTCAGCCAGATTGGGTGCAGATGCAAGCGCAACTGAATTCTTTAACTAATATGGTCAGACACTTGGTGGCCACCATAGAGCGAATTGATGGGAGAAATTCAATCCCTCCCCTTGAAGATGCTCAACCAAGACCACCAAACGCAGCCAGTTGCCCGAAACCAGAATAATGGTGACCAGCGTGGTGTCTTAGAAGGGATTAGAGAGAGTCCAAAATACAAGGGAAAATAATATAAGGCCTTAACTGTCAAAATTGCTAGGAAGTGAGTAGAGCGCCGCTAGGAGACGAGCCCAGGAAAAGGTTGCTCCTGCAAATGGACAATGATTTCCCCTAAGGGAGCCATCCCGAGGAAACCAGGGCAATGATGACCAAGAAGACTCAGGATCGGTGCATAAGGGTGGAAACCTAAGAAACAGGCTGAATGCTAAAATTGCTTCAAAAAGTGTCGACTTCGCAATCTCAACAGTTGCGAGTAAGGAGATTATGGAGAGCAGGCATGCTCAGAGGAGAAACTTGTGGGTGATGTTGCGGGTTTAAAGAAAGATGTAAAAAGCCAAGTGAGTCACCTAAAGAAGAATTTGGGGCAGGTTACAGGGATAGTGAATGTCAACATTCCCCCAGTGAAGGTTGTTGGAAAATAATAGCATCGAGTGCGCAGCGG